TTTTAAAACACCAATTGTGATTGTTCACGGAAATGCTCATTCGCGCTTTCGTTAATGAGGCAAAACTGAATTCAATTTTTTTATTTTGTGCCTTTAATTAAAGTATTTATACACATATGTGTGTGTATTCATGCGACCTCGCTTATGCATAAATGTATGCGCACAGGTGTGTCCAATTTGTTTCACTTAATCAAACACATAACTGACGTAAATGGATATTTGGTATAACTGCAAGTTCGATTTGTTTTTGACATGTACCCACTGAAGTACGCGCACGTTTTGTGTGTTAAAACCAGTCACCAGTGATATAAACCCTTCCCCTAAGTAATATATGTGTGCTGCTGTATATGTATCTTCCCCCTTTTGTTACAATTACGTTGTACGTCCCTTTTTTTTTTTTTTACAAGTATATACTGCGTCGTGGAAAAGAGCAGCCAATCACATCAAACCGCGTAAAACCGCGTCAAATCGCTTTGCATTGTAATGCATTTTTTGTTCCTCTCGACGCAATCTGTTTACTGAATTTTTAAAAAAATACGTATGCAATGAGTGAAGAAGCAAATGTATAACTCTCACCTATACGAGTATACATAAACGTGCGCGGTTTACGTATGCGCGTACAATTTGGTGTGTTCCCCTTCTGTATGTATGCAAATGCAAAAAAAACACCCGATGATGCTGTGTTTTTCTTATTAATTCTGTACGTAATTGTAAATTAAAATTAGTGAATTTTCTTTCGCAAGATTCAAAATCGTAAGTTTTGCAAAAGTTTGTATTTAATTAAAACCCGTTTATAAAATTCACATTGTGCGTAAGTTGCCTCAACATCGCCTGTATTATGTTTAACTATTTTTTTTAAATTTTTAAAAGGGTACGCAAAAAAAAAAAAAGTGTTAAAAAAAAAACAGGCGTGTGGAGTGCAGTTAATTAATTCATGCGCGTTTTTTTTAACCTCCCAAAATTTTCACTTTAAAAAACAGCAGCAGCAGCAATCTTTCATACGTGCATGTAGTGTAGGACTTTTTTTTTTTTTTCGTAAAAGTGCCTATATGCGTTGTTTAAATTAGGAACACGTTGTATCTATCACGTATGCATTTGCGTTTTTATACACTCCTCCCCGTGTACCTTAACTTATCTGCATATGCAGAAGGGTACATCATTTAATCGCATGCAGCATATGTACCTTTGCGCAGGCCCCTATGCACCTATAAAAAAAAAAGTAGTACATGTGCACATAATGTAGATACCAGCGAAAGGAAAAAGATGCAGAAACACAAAAATAAAAAAATAGAAAAGAAGAAAAATGCGCACACGTACGTATGAGTAAATTTATACGTAGAGAGTGCATGTTGGCCTCTTTTTTTTTGTTTTTTTTTTTGTTTTTTTCCTATTTTCTTCGTTTAAAAATACATACGCGAATTGTTTTATATGAATATATTTTTTTTAAATGCGAGGGAAGTTGCTTATATTTTTACAAGCGCAGTTATTCATTTTTGTATACGCGTAACTGTTCACTTTTATATACGCGAAAAATTATTCCCTTTTTTTTTGCGCGAGAAACTGCTCCTTTTGGTGCGAAAGTGTTGCTTTTTTCTCATTCGTTTTTTTTTTTGTAACAAAGCATTTAAAACGCGTGGAACGAATTTGGCTTGTTATTTTTGGGAGGCATGTTTTTCCCCTTTTTGAGGACAGAATCCGTACTCAACACAACTTAGAAAATTCTTCTGAAAGAGTCAAAGCAACGTTTTCGAAGTATACATATATATATACGTAAATGCATATGTACATATACATGCATCTAGTGCGTGTACCTAGATATATTGCGTACTCGTTTGCATACTTACAAAAAGGAGAAAGAGGGAAATATATACAATGCCTTAAAGAAGAAAACAAAGGAGGTTTTAATTTTTAAACATTTAAGTTTTTTTGTTAATTCGGTAAATTTCTATTAATTAAAAAATTTTTTTTTTCACCCACCCCCAATTATTAACATAACTGCTTATTCTTGTTATAGATACCATCTGTGTTACATGTAAATAAATGCATACATAAAAAACAACATTGCCTGTTCATATTTTTGTTTTTTTTTTTTTTTTATACTGTTCATGCTTTGTTCACTATTTTTTTTGGGTTTTTAAAAAAAAAAAAAATAGTTAGCTAGCCTTTTTTTTTTCTTTTTTTTTTTTATTTTAATTCAATTAACCAAAATTTATACATATATAAATAAAAGCAAACATATGTACACATAACTGTGTACCCGTTTGCTAAACAATTTGAACTTTTTGAACCCATTGATATGTTTGTAGTGTAAGTGCCTTGTTTTTCTCTACATTCGCACATATTTGCATTACGATCTAATTTATCTATTTCTCCATATTTTACGTTTTATCGAAGTTTTGTTTTTAAGGATTACGTGACAGTACATATATCGTATTCGTGTACATTGCGCTGTGTTAACTCGCGCAACGTTCGCCCACACAACATAGTTACTTTATTGTTAGAAAAAAGCGAGTGAAACATTTTTCCCACACAATCATGTGAAAATTCGAATTAACAACCAAATTATATGCGCTTTTACATTTTTGCTTGTTTGTTCACTTTCCGCAATAACAATTTCTGAAGCTACTTATTTGAAGGCGACTGCGGTAACATCGTAAAATTTGTGTATACGTGTGCGCCGGGCTTCCCAACAACCACAGAGGTGCATGTACGTACGTGTGAGACGTGTATGTTCCAGGTGTATGTGTGACTTACATGTGTGTACTTATATATATATACATGCGTTCATTCCTTCTCGTGCGTATTCCTTAATCCACTGGAGAAGGGCGCTTCTTTCTGGCCTCGAATGCCTCTTGTAGCGTTAACTCTTTAATAACATGTTTGTTGTATCATTGCCGATGTTTGTGTACGTTTGAATTTTTAATGCTTATCACATATGCCTCATGCAATTATATTTTTTAAAGCTCCTCGATGCGTCATTATTTATTAACCAGAAAGGTTTGAGTCATTACGCCCTATTTATTTCTCTTATTTTGTTCATTTTATCCATTTTGTTCATTTTATTCCTATTTATTTGATATTTTTAATCTACCAAGGTTTTAAATGCTTTTTGAACCCACTAACCTTTCTTTTTAATATCTCCCCCCCCTAATTAACCCTGTTCGGTTCGTTCGAATACCCATCGTTACGTTAACCTCGTAGATCTGTTACACGGATTGCGTAAGTGTGTGTGCGTTTGTGTCTGCTTGTATCTGGGTTTGTGTTTATTCGTATGTGTGTTTTTGTCTGTCTGCGTATGTACATATCCATGTGTATATGTGCACATCTGTTTGTATGAATTCATGTGACCGCATACATATATATACGGTTTAATATATATGTGTGTACGTCTACATATGTATGTGTGTAGGCATATTAGCTGACGAGGGTACATCGGTGTACATGGGACTGTTGCCAACTTAATTAAATTATACTGTTAATTTTATGCATTCTTTTGAAAATGTGAAGAAAGAAACAGTAAAATGTAAAACAAACGTTATTAGTGGTACATATTCTATTTTTGAAAAGCCCTATCTTCTTTTTCTTTTTAATTTATTTTTGCATATTTACGCGTTTTTCCGTTGGTGTGTGTCTTTTTACGGCGCCCCCTTTAATGGGAAAGGCACCCACATTTTGTCATTACAAGAGGCAGAAGGGAAGAAGCACATATATATATATGTATGCATTATATATATATGTGCATACATCCTCATGTGTTGAATTAATATCATGTTATTGTTAAAATTTATACATGCATAAACCGAAAATTGACATTATTGAGCCCCCAAAATGACTAGTTGTAGTCTCAAGTGTAGTATGTTACCTTGTGTACACATACGGAACACGAAAAATGAAATAAATTTGGAAGACCCAAAGGAAGAAGGCACAATACAACGTTACAAAGATGAAATGAACATCAATGCGGAAGAAACGGTGCATGTTAAAAGTGCAATCAATAATAATAACTTGTATTGTAAGTCGTCCTACGATTTAAATACAAACGTTGAAATTTGCGGCAGCGGTGACGTGAAAATGAGTAGCAGGGACCCTGCGGCGTATGAGCAGCTCTTGGCAAACGAGAGCGCAAATGCGCATGTGAATGCCACCGGGAGCGGCGGGGTGGTCGCCAACTTTAGTGAAAATGACAATAGGACCACGTATGTCTACAACAACGCCGACCTCAGCGGCCCTGTGAACAGCGGCACTCCTCCCATGCGCGCCATTGACAGGATGAATAGGAGCGCGAAAGTTAACGTGAATAACTGCACACAAATAAAGGATTTCAAACCCGAGGAGATGAAGGCGTCCTTCGAGCAAGACCGAAAGGACATTCTACTGAACACCTACAATTACTACTTCTGGAATAGCTATGGGGACATAAACCAGAGCGATCACAAGAGTCAAGGCGACATGGGCGTGTACTACTACAAGCGGGTGTCCATGAATTTTATGAATTACGATTACGACGCGGAGTATAAGCACTACGATGATGATGACAACAACAATAGCAGTAGAAATGGAAACGACATCAGTAACAGGAGCGACAGCAGTAACGGGAATGGCAGCAGTAACGGGAATGACAGCAGTAACGGGAATGACAGCAGTAACGGGAATGATAGCAGTAACGGGAATGATAGCAGCAACGGTAACGGTAACGGTAACGGAAACGGTTGCCGCTCGCCCGAAAAGTCCTGCGAAGTAAAACTCAAGGATTGTAACACGAATAACCTTTTTTTTAGAACCAATTCGTACGACAATGTATTTTTGAAGAAGATAAAGATCACGAGTGTCGACAATAAGTGCACCAGAAAAAGCATAAAAAAGTACAGAATTCCCTTTGAGCCGAATTTTTACAGCAGCCGCTTCTTCTTCTCCGAAAAGGACATAAATGAAGATCTGCATCCGCTGAGTGATAATTTCACAAAGTATTGCAGTTCCCTGTCCGTCAATTATAACACCGTCAACAGTAATGGTAGTAGTGACCACGCCGCTGTAAATAACGTTAGCAGTGGCATTAGCCATGGCAATCATGCCAGTGATTTTAGGAATCCAGGGAGGCGCAACAACCCCAGTGGTAACAAAGATGGATGCAGGAGTAACAGCACGAATACACCGTGCAGAGGTCTTCCTCGGTACTCCTACATTCTGCGGTTCGAGGGCCCCCCCCCACATTTCCTCATTTTGAAGTACAACAAAGTTACGAAGAAAGCTAACATAGTAAAAAAGGTGCCAGTGAATAAGAACATCTCGTTCAACCTTGCGAAATTTATTGCGGAAAAGTACCTCCAGATTTTGAGAAAGACCTTGAAGAAGAAGGAGAAGAAATTGGAGAAGATGAGGAGCGCGGGAGGCGAAGCGGAGAATGATGAAGCAGACGAGGATGTAGTTTGTAATGGGGAAGACGCCAATATCAACAAGGGAAGCAACTGCGGAGACTGTTGCGAATGCTCGAACGGCAGCCAGCACGAGAGCAACGACGCCTATGACTCCAAGAAGAATATGGACTACAACAACAGCACCAATTGTGAGAGCTACCAGGGAAACTTTTTCAACTTCGGCACGGAGAATTATAATGACAATGACGTAAACAATAACAGCAGCGGCGCGTGCAGCAGTCGGCTCCGTGACGACGACAACGGGGACGAGCTGAATAATAAACCCAATAATGAGCCAAATGATAAACCCAATAATGAGCCAAATGATAAACCAAATAATGAGCCCAATAATGAGCCGAATGATAAACACAATAATGAGCCCAATAATGAGCCAAATGATAAACCAAATAATGACCCCAATAATGAGCCGAATGATAAGCCAAATACTGAGCCAAATAATGATCCAAATAATGAGAACCAAGACAGCGACAACAGCCTCTGCAGTCGCAGCGGGGGCGAGAGCAGCGCGAAGAACAAGTTCGGCACGAGGAGTCAAAACAGCTCAGACTGCTCCGCCAGAAGAAGCAATGGGCGGTTTAGTGACGAACGACGAATGGCTGAAAACGCCCGCAGAGGTGAACAGCCCCTCTACAGTGAACTTCCAATTAGTCAGAATTACGAAAACGACAGTAACGATTTGGAAAATATAGACGTAAATTCGCTAAGTTACGAAAGTTACAGCTCGGAGAATTTATACGATGACAAGCTCTGCACCTATGAGTATCTCAACATAGACTTGGACAATGTCGTTTTTAACACGGACACGGAGAAGTACATCAAATTTTTAAGCAACATAAAGATATACTACCTGCATAAGATGGACGACATGAGAAAGATCCTTCCCAGATGTGACGACTCGACGGGAAATAAGCTGGTCTTTTTGGTAAAAATAAAGTATGATAGGTGCATAAAGTCGAAGATCTTCATTTTTGAGAACGTGCAGGATATGATGCATGAGTACGAGTACATGGATGGCGATGCGCTTGACAGTATGGAGCAGGGCGACGGGGAAAACACGATGCAGTTTATGCTGAGGAGAAGTTCCAGCAGCGGCAGCAGTAGTAATAGCGGCGGCTGTGGGGGAAGTACCCATTACGGGGGAAATAATGTGAAGAGCGAAAGCGGCAGCACCGGGCCGAATGCGAATAGTAACAGCGAATCGGCGAACAGCGATTCTTTGGCGAAGATGCCAACGGCGAGAGCATGCAGTGTGAGGATGGATGAGAATGGCGAAGTAAATCCGAAGAACGAGGCGAAGGAGGAGGGGGAAAGCGAAGGCCCCAAGAAGGAAGGCGGCACCTACGCAAGCTGCAACAAGGAGGAGAGCCAGCCTGCGATGTGCAAATTGGAGCACACCGGGGACTACCTGTTAAGCTCCGATTACGCGACACAGGAGACACCAGTGAAGCAGGAGTTGTTGGAAGAGGAGGGGAATAACCTTGGCGGCGGAAGGAGCAGTAACGGTGACGCTGGCAAAACGACGAAGCCCAAGATACCGGAGGAGATGGAGAAGAAGTGCAGCGCGCTAGCAATCATCCCCACCGACAGGGAGGCAACCCCTCAAATGAACGAAGGGAAGGCAAAAAAAATGACCATCAGCTATAGGAGAAAAATTATCCAGTTTATACGAAACAACGTATACATAAATTCATACCTATACGACTGCTTTGAAAATATATACATGAATAAGAAATTCTTCAGGAACGACGTAATTATAGTGAACCACTTGTCTGAAGAGGATCAAATGATGGATGACATCCCGGACTATATATACGAATTGAACAAATTTGTATTTATTAAGTTTACCAAATTTGATCAGTACGTTAAGAAGAATCACAAAATTGCCGAAGGGTACATACAATACCTGCTGCAGAGTAACATAAAGTGCATTAATAGGTATATGATTGGCATAAGGTGGGTTCCGGACATTTTTGCGTATGAATATTATGTGTGCAAAATTATGGATGGAGAGGCAAAATGTGATGAATGGAAAAAGCAGGAGAAGTATAATTACTCCCTTACGTTAGAGAAAGACTCGAATGAGAAAACGTTGAAGTATCTGGTGGACTACGAGAATAAGGTTATTGACAATGTGTTGTGTGTTTTGCACGAATATTATCAGGCAAGTTTATTTACCGAGAAGTGTATCTTCAATTTGTTTAAGTTGGTTCTTCTGAGGGTCAGTCTCTACATTGGCGTCTTGAACACGAAGGTCATTACGCTGGATCTGGACAAGGCCATGTATCGAATGAAGAAGTTTTCCGAGCCCATAAGTTTGTGTGACAACTTCGGGGCTTCCGAGAATGAGGGCACACCGAAGGGGCTGGAGAAGTATCTCGCTGGGACTGTCAGCGGTGCGGTGGAGTGCAGGACGGACGAGCAGCATATGAAGCAGCAAATCCAGCAGAAGAACGAGGACGCGTGGAACAGCAGCCCCTCCCCCCTGCACGTGGGCGCCTCGCGCGGCGGGTACAGCCATGTGTACAACGGGGTGGGCGGAGATTTGGGTGGCAAATTCGGAGGCAACTTCGGCGACGAAACGAACACGAACTGTCACGTCACCCTCCTGGGCCCCAACGACCATCCACAAGAGGAAGCAGAGGCGAAGGCAAAGCACTCATCTGACAGCGACCCCAGCAATCTCCTGCAGGTATACCACCCATACAACGATTTGTTCCTCAGGAAGGAGAAGTACGAAAATGAGGCATACTTGCAAAACAAATTAAGGAATAAAAAGAAGGTTAGTTATAACTTGGATAATACCTCCCTATCGTTGAGAAGTCGACAGAAAAAAAAAAACTTTGCCATGTCGAAAGGCGGAGTTAGAGTCACAATCCGTGGTGCCGCTGCTAACAGCAACGAAGTCGGGGGAAGTGTAACGGCGGGGGAACCCTTCAGCATAAAATACTACAGCTCATCGGCGGATAACAACAAGGTAGGGAATTTAAATAATCACAAAAAGGAGTACTACTCGAATGCCAGCGATTTTAGCGGGACATCCCATTTGACGGGGAAGCGTAAGTATCACCTCCGCAGCAACAATGCGCAGTCGACGGATAACAACTCTTCCGAGGAGTACGCCTCTAGGATAAAGCTGAGGAGAAGGAACAAGGGGAGGAGTAGGATGCTCTACAAATTGATGAACAAAAAGGGGTTAATAGAACCATATTGGTGGTTTTTCTACAATTTATATGAAAACACCACAATACAGGATAGTGGCAGCAGCTGCAGCAGCACGAAGAAGAGGAAGAAGAAGGGTAGGAAGATGAGGTCGTTGAAGTTGAGAGGCACCAGGAAGAATGGTGGCACGGCTGGTAGTATGGGTGGCGACATTTCCGGAGGTGACGGCGCCGGTTACACCTTGAGGAGGGGCAAGCACAAGATGAGCAAGCTGTTCAGAAATTACAAGGGAAGCAAAAAGCCCCGCAGGTCGCGCCAAAACAGTGAGAACGGGAACGAGAACGACGGCGACAACATCAACGACGACGAGAAGTACATTTACAGCAAATTGCTAGAGAAAACGTACAAGAGCAATTTAATGAACCTTTTCTGCCAGAAGAAGAATAAGATCAAGATCAAGTACATTTCAATGGTACACGACATCATTTACAAAAAGTTTATTCTTCTGAGTAATACAATTTTCCCGAGAAATCTACACGAGTCGGAAATATTGTACACTCTGTTCCCGCACGAGCCACACACCTTCATGTTCTTATACATGGACGATAACTTCCAGTATCAGAATGAGACCTTTTTGAAGTACGTAACGTTTAGTGACTACTTGATGAATATGAACCATTTGGGGGATGGTAAGAAGGGCGCGATGTTGACGCAGGGCGGGGTGGCGAATAACCATGCGCTAGGTGTCACTGGTGGAGTCAGTGGTCTAGTCACTGGTCCAGTCAGTGGTGGTCTGTTTGCTTCTCCTCTTGGGGATGCTATTCCAAGCCATCTGTACGAAGGTGGGCTCCTATCCCTAGCTGCGTGCAATAATGAGCTACAAAATGGGAACTTAAATATGAACGTCCATGTGGGGAACAGCCGAGGAATCGATAAAGATTTTTACGTGGACCATTTGATTATAGGCGGAGCGGAGAGCCTGGTGGATTCGTCCGCGAATGTGTTGTTGACAAATGGGAACTTAAAATATTCGAGCATCCCGAATTACGACAGAGTGAAAAGTAACCGACGGAATGCGTACTTGGGGCTGAGTGAAATTGAAGGAGGACAGTCGGAGGCCCTTGGGTACAGCGCGCTATTGAACATCGGTGGGGGTGTGGAGGACGGCCTGAACAATCTAGAACACCTGGGTTTTGGTAGTTACGACGTGAATTACGCATTCGGCGGGAATGGCGATCCTTACCGTCTGGGGAATGAGCTTATCGGTGGTGGCGGCGCGAATGCATACCTGGACGCGCCCTCCAGCACGAGACACAAAGTGTTCGGCTTTGAAAGGAGCAGAAGGGAAATCAAGCCAAACGAGTACTACGACTACTTCATGGGAGACAAAAATTTGCTGTCCGGGAAGGACAAGTTTCACAACATTGGTGAGAAGAGAAGCGTCTCGAATACCACCTTCGGAAGGGGAAGTAAATATTACGATCATTACGGACACCAGGAGGATAAAAAGAACACGAGTGACAATGACATCTCGCTCATTAAGAAGAGGAAGCATGGAAATAAGAGAGCCAAGAGTAATAACCTGTCCAGTGTGAAAAATTTTAGCAATCTGTGTAGCAGCAATAAGAGCGACATGAATAACAGTGCTGCCCTGGGCAACAATGCTATGGGTGGCAACGTCCACGATGATTCATTGATCCCTATGGGTCCCCTCCCAACAGGGGTATACTTCGACTCTGCGCGAAAGCTCTGGAGATGCCAGTGGAAGGAAAATGGGAAGTTTAAGACGAAAGGGTTTAGCTTGATTCATTACAACACCCTGGAGGAGGCGAGAAAGCAGTGCATTCTGTACCGATGTGACGTCGGAAACATACCTGTCAAGAGCGAATGGTTGAATCCTGAGTACGTCAGTTCCTCCTACTTTTACAACAAGAAATATGCTAGCAGTGCGAATAACACCAATAACAACGCAACGAATTATGGAACCCCGCATAAGGAGTTAAAAACGAGTTCTTTGAATCTGAATCGATTGAAGGAGAAAACGAATGGCGTGGAGAGAAATGGTAAAGGGTTCATGGACGGATCAAGCAAAGACTCCAGTGACAACTACTACGGCGGGGTTGCCGGTGTTGGTAGCGGTCGCGGCAGTGGAGTGGGAAGTTCGAATGTTAATAGATATTCCACCAGGAACAATACGGCCTCCAGCACTTTCAACTTCCTGAATAATAACAAGGCCAACGAGATTGACATTTCGATTCTGCAAGAATTCGTGACGAAGAATAAAGAAAATCAGAACATCCATGACAAGGGCGACTGGGAGAATAACAACCCAGGTATGGAGGACATGGTAGGAAATAATGAGAACTTTCTCTTTGTAAATGGGAAGGTGGACAGCAGTTCGATGAAGCAGATAGAGGAGGGAAACTCACAGGAACAGTCAGAGGAACAAACACAGGAGGATTCACAGGAACACTCACAGGAATACTCACAGGATGACCCATACCCGCAGCCGCTGCTTGACGGTGGCGAAGAAAGTGGAGAGACCCTCGCCGCGAGGAGAAGCAAACGCATGAAGAGTAGCCCTAACCAGGACAGGAGTTATAAGATGGAACTTAATGGCGAATTGAAGGACTACTACCTAGGGGGTGGTGCCCAGGCCCATATCCCCACTTTAGAGAACGTGAATAATTTGGAGAACCTTGGAGGTGTGTTCAATAAGAGAATTCTGAAAGAGATCCAGAGCGCGAACGAGGAAGAGCGTAACAGGGGCGGCTACGACTTAATGGTGGGTGGAGGTAGTACAGGGGTAAACCACAGCCCAGGAAAGAACAATAGTAATGGCGACTGTGACGCGGTATCGAGAAACTTACAGGCGATCCTGAATATGCTGCATAACAAGGACGGAAAGGAGGACGACCCATTTAGGGCCACCTTGAACGGAGTGAAGACAGAGAATGGGCTGTCCCCAGGCAAGCTGGGCTTGGACATGGGTCCTAGAAGCAAGGGAAACGCGGGCGAAGGCGCAGACCCATACAGCACGTTAGACGGCGTTAAGAATGAGCTGCTCCTGATGCTGCAGCAGCAGAAGGACAATGTAAATAATTTTCCCCACCTCAATGGCATTCAAAAGAAGGGGAAGAAGATGAAGTTCGATAAGAAGGAGTTCCATTCGGTTATGAGAAAGGGTGTAAACGGAGAGAAACGAAAAAAGATACCCATGTTGGACGTGGCGAATATGCTGGATGACATTGGAAGAAAGGGAAGCGAAGGGACCATTTTGGATGACCCCCAGGATGGCAGCAATTTGTTACTAAACGGTGGCAACATTGGCGACAGCCTCTCCGCGTTTGTCAAGTATGCCAGCGGGAATAATGAGTTCGCGGTGGGAGGAATGGACGGAATGGACGATATAAGATCAATCGGAGGAATCAGTGCAACCGCGGCAAACGGAGCGGGGGTAGGAGTCGGACTCGGACACGGCACGTTGTCCATGAATAAGAACTATGCCGAAAACGGAGGGCCCCAAAGTGGTGGTGCCATCACGAATGGCATATCGAAGATGAAGAAGGGGAAGAACGGAGTTGGCGACAGGGGAGGAGAGTCCCCGCTCAGTAACAATTTCCCCAATATATTTTTTCAGGACATCCAGAAGTTCTTAACTTTTGCCAAGGAGAGAGACGATGCCGCAAAAGGGGTTAGCAGTGGCGCCCGAGTGATCACAGACAATGTGGAGTCTGTGGGTATGGCAAACGGATTCGAGGAAGAGGAACAGACCGAGGGGCTGGCCTACTTTAAGGGCAGGAATCCGAACGCCAGGAGCGCGAACGGTGAGTACGAGAATTACCTGAGGTCGATCATGGTTCAGTACGAGAAGGATGAGAAGGAGAACCAGAAGAAGGGGAAGCAGCAGAAACAGCAGCAGAAGAAGCAACACAAGCAGCAACAGCGGCAACAGCAACGGACGCCCAGGAAGAGCGGTCAGAGAGGCGCCTCTGGCGATGGTGCGTTTGCACTGGATGACGAGGATTTCAACCATGCGAGTGGTAGTGCGCTCAATAATCTGATCGGCGTTAGCCATCTGTGCAACCACCAAGGAGATGGCAGCAGCCGGGATAAGAAGGGAGGAGCAGATTACCTCGAATTGAACGAAGACCGCATTAACAACAACGGCGTCGTAGCAAACGACAAGGGCGAGAACAACCTAGGCCAGAATCTCACGGCTGAAATGTTTGAAAAGTATCTGAACCTATTTGGCAGGAAGCAGCAAAGCGCAACAGAAAGTAACAACCATGAGGGGGAGAATCATAATAATGATAGTAATAGTAATAACAGAGCAGGGACCTCTGCGACCGCGACAGAAGGGGAAGAAGGCCTAGACAACTCCAAGTACGTGGAGTATCAGAGTCCAGGAAAAGAAACAAATGATTACAACACGAGGAAGAAGAAAAAAAAGAGAGACATGGGCTACTCCTTTATGAATAACAATGACTACTATTACTACGACGATGATAACTTTAACGACCAGTTTAATGAAAACTACGACGATGATAAAATTAACGATCACTTCAGTGAAAACTACAACAATCTTAATGACCAATTCAATGAAAACTATGAGAACTTTAAGGAAGACGAGTATGGGAATAGCCACCATATGGTAGATGAGAAGTTGGATCCGAACTATCTGAGTGGATTTAATTATGGCCATGGAGGAAACGGTACCACCGGGGCTGGTGCTGTGTACTCGAAGAAGAAGGCAAAAACAAAAGGAAGTAAAAATAATGATACAAGTGCTCAAGAAGGGGGTGATGGCATGTTGGGAGTTCTATCCGACAATGAGTCAAAGATGCCGGGGGGGGGAAAAGGAGGTGTGGTCAATGGGGGTAAGAAGAACAACAACGCTGGGGGAGGTGGATCCACTGGAGGAGACATTGACATCACTTTGATAAAGCAGTCTCTCCCGAAAGGCATTTATTATGACCACGCAAAGAAATTATACCGAGTGCAGTATATACTGAATAACTCCATTAAGACCAAGGGGTTCAGTGTGAAGAAATTGGGGCTAGCACAAGCGAAGATCGAGGCGGAGACTTTTCGGAACTACTGCCTGGAGTACGGCCTTCTGAATTCGCGGAAGAGGAGAATTAACTCGCCCTATAACAACAAGAAGGAGGAGAAGAATTTCAAAATGATAAAGGATAACGAGGAGATCCTGTCCAATTTGCTCTCTTTGTACAACACGAATAACGCGAAGCAGCCAATGCAGTGAGAGAGGCGGTGTGGTAGTAGAGAGAGCGCGGCGGCCATATGTGCTGTTGTGTGGTACACAGAGAATACACACAGGGGGGCAAAGAAGTCTGTTCGTGTCTTACCTCTTCCCCTCGTACGCAACACTTTTGCGAGGACGCAATTTGTGGGCCCATTCGACAATTTGAAACGCACGCGATACGTCCTCTTGTGTGGTGGTTGTCTTAAGAACGCTTCGACGTTATATCATACGTTTGTGGAGACAGCTGGTGTGGCTCAGCGCAGATGGGCGAGACGTTTCGGGGTGACAGCCGACCGACCGCTTAGCTGAATTGCAGTTTTTTCAGTTTCCCGTTTGGAGCTCCGGAGTTTGTGTTTTTAATTTTCTCTTTTGAAGTTTCCCTTTTGAAGTTTGTCTTTTCAAGTCTCTCTTTTCAAGTTTGTCGCTGGAACTTGGACATTTTAAAAATTTGTGTTTTAATTTTGCCTCTAAGTGTTTACCATTAGTTTTGCCCCTGAGTTTCATTCTGAATTTCCCTTTTTGAAACGTTGCTAGCGTTTTGCTTGAGATTTTCCGAAGGGGGGGAAGGGCGAGGGAGTTGAAGTTTCCCCAAGTTTGTAAACTTGCTGACGAATTGGTGGATCCCTTTTTTTTCGATTTGGACTGGAGCACCTACCCCCCCTGCTCCGTTGGCTCGTCTGTACTGCGGATCATTGTTGATACGTTAAGAGCCTTTTTTTTTCTTCTATGCTTCTTATTCCTTTTAATGATTCACTTTTGACAAGAATTATCCTATTCATATTTTCACCCCCTTTTAAAACGCTTTAACAATTAATTAATTAATTAGTTAATTAATGGAAGGTTTTTTTTTCTTCTTTTTTTTCTTCGATGGTGTGATGGTTTCCCAGCAGGTGTTGTCTGTGCGTGGTGTCACTCTGTCGATGATGTGAGCGTGTGGAGGAATGAAGTGGCAGCTCATCTTTTGGCTAATAATCTACTACCTAGGGGAGTGAATGCATCCGTCATTTGCACGTTTGACACACGGTTGCAGTTTGTAGTAGGGTATATATATACGTATATGTGTATCTGCATGTGCGTGTTTATACAAGTGGGACAACTATTTTGGGAGGAGATTATACAACATGGCAGAGGTGGCCCCCCCGCTGCTCTTCTCCAAGGGTTGACCCAGCGGGATTTCTTTTCCGCGGGAAAGATCAGATGACTAGGTATGACTTACGCACGCGCTGACTATAGTGTAGCAGACTCGCCTTATAGTGTATGTCGCTTCCGCAAATAAGTGCACTTATATATGATTGCAAAAAATTTTACTTTTGAGCAAATAAAAAAAATTATGTGCCTCCCTTCCTCTGTTTTATTCATCCCTGGACCGTTTGAGCGAAGTGGAAGCAGCAGCTGACGTAAAAAATCTTTCTTTTTTTTTTTTAACAAGGGTGACAAATTTGCATGAGTTTCTTTTTTTTTTTCACTTGCGCCTTGTCGATCAAGAATTTTGCTGTAAGCCTCCATGCGGGGCCACTAAACGAGGGTATTTTTCTCTACGTTCTCCACTTCCGCCACTGGTTTAGATCGAAACGCTTTTTTTTCCATTCGGTGTAGATGCGCGCTGTCATTTTGGAAGCGAGGCTGGCCTTTTCGTGTTTCCAATTTCTCCCCAATTGAAGGAGCACCTTGAGCTCGTAGGAAGATAAGCCCATGTAGATTATAGGGATTCACGAGAATAAACATAAGTGTAAGCACATGAGCGGGTGTTTCACGGATCTTCCCTGGCTTCCTCGTCGTTATCCACCTTCCTCTTCTGCTGCTGCTCTTCGCCGTTCTCGTATTCTGGAGACTTCCCTAGTTGGTATTGGAACTTCCATTTGAGGACAAGCACCGCGTTGGTGACCTGCACAGCGTAGGCGTCTCTATCGAGGGGAGCCAGATGAGGAAGCTCCTAGTGGAAGCAGCTCGGGTTGCCACCCCCAGAGATTGCTACCACGTCTTTTCCCTCGCCCCAATTGCCCAGTTTATTCCCCCTCTCCATGTGCAAAAAATTCAATTCGGAAGCAAAAAGCAAAAAGAAAAAGTGGACAAAGAGACGAAGAAGCTTCGCAGATTTTTGAAAATCTCTGGTGTGAGGAATGATGAGCAGTTGGAAGGAGCAGACGAGGCGAGACGGGGTGGAGGAAGTGTCGGAAGTGGATCGAGTGAACGGAGTAGACAGAGTCATGGAGCGAATGACGAAGGAGAAAGAGTTGCTACCTCGATGCGGGTAGACTACGAAGCATATGACGTGAAGGCACAAGAAATTGTTAAAGCGTTTGAGAGAAAAATGAAAAAAATATATGACAACAATTTAAGTGTAGATTTTTTTAACAACATCGTTATCGCGAAAGAGAAGCAAAATTTTAACTTATCCGATTTAGCCCAGGTTGTTATGAAGTCAGCCAAAGTGATATATTTTTTCCCTTATATGAATAGCGACGCGCAGAGGATTATCTACCATTTGAAGATCAAGGACAATACATGGAACCCTACTATGTCCAATGACGGGCAACACATTTTGTTGCATATCCCTCCACTGACGGAGGATGTAAAGTTAAAGAAAAGGAAAGAAGCGAAGGAGCTGTTGGAGAAGATCAAAAACGACCTGCGCAATCTGCGGCACAGGGTGAGAGACGACATTGCCAGGCTTCTCCAAGGCGAGGAGTGGAAAATCGTGGAGCGGAACAAGCTAGACACCTACATAAAGGGGAAGGTCAAGGCGATCGAGGAAATATACGCGGATTACGCGGGGGAGGGGCGCTAGGGCTGTAGAGCGGTTGGATTAGCAGTGCGGTGGAACTGTAGAGCGGTTGCAGTGGCGGCGCGGTTTTCCTGGTTAGCCCAATTAACGCCATTCGACTGGTCCACCCACCCTAACTCCCCTCTCGAAGGATGCTTCTGCTCTATGGTCTCCCATACCCAAGTTCCTTTTTTTTTTTAAACCATTGCTTGCGCGCTGCAGCAGTGGTTAACCTCGTTCGGGAAGGATCAAATCACACGCTTCATTCTTTAAGAGCAACTTGGGGGCCCCCCTTTTGGTCCCGCACGTCGAGGTAGCTTGTGTATTCGCTAGGGTTGTAAAAAAGGGGGAAATGTTTGACAACTGCATTTTCAGCACTGCTTTGCCGTTATGAACAAAGAGAGACGAATGTAAGTCTCCGTCTGACATTTGTTTTTATCTGTTAATTTTTTTTTTTTTTTTTTTGTACCCTGGGTAGTAAGTCAACATGTGCCTCTTCGTAAAATAGTAGATATTGTCGCTCTCTGCTGTAGGAATGGACAATGTGAGGGGTGACACTGAGGGGGATAAGAAGACAAGGTGATTATGCTTCGCACCTCGTTTTGTGATAATAACCAGCAAAAGAATGCATCGCTCACCTGTGTTCATCGAAAAATCCGGGACGATTCTCTTAACGTAGGCCAAGACGTCCTCCACGTCGAGGTTTAACGTCGTCGTAATGTAGAATACCAACAGGGACAGAATCTTCTCAAGGGAGATATAGCTGTAGGGTTGAAAAAAATGGTGACGGGACGGCGCGATGTGTAACCCGTTTTTTTTACTCCTCGTACAGAACATTACACGTGTGTTATTTTAATACGTGTGGGGTGGGGCTCGCTGACTCCGCGGGGGATGCCCCTTTCGCCTCTCTGTCCTGCTTAATACCTGTGGATGAAGACCCTATTTTCTCCATTTTCAAAGAGGATCTCGTCCAGCAGGAATTTCAAATGCGTACAGTGGGTGAAGTCATAATCTGCCTCCAGGTCGATGATGTAGTATTCGAACTTCTGTGTCGGTACGGGTGGGAGAGCACCGATTGGCAGGTAAAAGGTTCACAGAGGGGCATATGTGTGGAGGTGCACAACACGGTGTGGGTTCATATGCCGAGCAAAGATGCTGAACCTACGGAAATACATGCACTTGTCTGCAGCAGAACCGACTTACATGTGGGTAAATTATCCTAGCCATTTGATATTCTTCGTTGCACCTTACGATAATGATGTCTGCGGCAAGGAGGGGGTTCACCGGGGGTTGTCGCCATTTCATTAGTGGCCTACACTGTTGATTAGCCCCCCGCGGACACTAAGATGCGGCTCGATCGCATGATTGTCTATTCGCTATACTGCCTATATGATGCGATGCCACTCTGCATACTGGTCGTATGCCCTCCGTCTGTACGCGTGATGCCGATGATTCCGAGGAGCAGGATGTTCTTTGAGTCTTCGTAGTCCCCCACGTAAACCCTCGTTAGGATTTCCCTGAGGCCCCTTTTATATGCGTCCCCTGCTTCTTTCTCATCCTCGTCGTCATTGCCCCGTTTGGCTTCCATTGCGGGCAGGCCCACTGCCAGTTGGCGCACGTGAGTTCCTTCGAGGCTTCCCATTGTCGCTTCTTTTCTTGGTCGTTGACCCTGTCCCGCTTCGTTTGGGAGTGCCTTTCAAGAGGCATACACAAGGGGGGGGAAAAAAAAAAAAAAAAAAAATATATGCAAAAGAAAAAATAAATTTACACAAAGAAGTGCCCAGATGAGGGGAATAACTGGATGATTACCATAAAGGGCGACCGCTTCCTCCCTTCTGTGGCTCACTTTACGTAAAAATTGAAAAAAAAGGGGCCAAGCAAACCCAATGGGAAAGTCCTTTTTGGCCCAGTAGACACGAGAGCCAGGGATGAAAAGTGGAGGCGGAAAAACGGGGACGAAAATTCGTGCGCCAAAATTGCCGCGCGAAAAATTGGTGCATGAAAAGTGCTGCGCTGGGAATTTTCTGCCGGAAATTTCTGCCTGGAATTTTCCGCGGCGGAAAACTGCGCAAACGGTTGAGCAGTCGCCTCGTTCTCATCATCAGCAGCAGCAGAGTTTGTCCGAGGTGGAAACAAATTACATATTTTGTTTCTCCCCTTCCAGTCCTCGCAAGGGTGTACCATTTTCATTTATCTGCACATGTCTCTGCGCATGTGCCTGTGTGCCAACATGCTCTGCCGCGCGATAGCGAAAACGCGGGGAAAATTGTCCCCTCGCGCGCAAGTGAAATGTACCGAGGACTGTTGCTGTGGTGTGGCATCGCGGCGCATAGTGTGACAGAGCGGCGCGTCCCACTGCATACCACCCCATCGTGACGCAGGGGCCCCGAGCGGTAACCTCCTTCAGGGGAGACATATGCCGCACATGCGGACATACGGAAATACTCCAGCGAGGCAAAATTAGCCACGCAGAAAAGGGAAAATATAAAACAAAGAGGTGGAAGTTGCCAGTCCGTGGGAGGCATCCCGGCTTACTGAAGTGGAAGCAGATCGTTGCTATGTGTGGCGAGTAGCCACCGTGCAGGATTTTTCCACTTCATCCACACAGACGCATATCGAGGAGAAAAAAAATGGAGTACTACGGACGGGAGAACCGCTGGGTGAACCAAAATGAAACAGCAAGCAGAGTACAGAGAAGCAAAGAGGACAATTACGTTTTCATCGATGAGAAATATAAACCTTATTTTGACAGCATAAGTGACCTATTTGAAGACAAGGTGGAGTATATACTAAGGAAACATTTTAAGAAGAACGAGCCGACGAATAAAAACAAATTGCTCTGCTTAAACGTTTGTGTGTTGTGGCAGAAGAGGTTTTTGGTTCTGCTGAGTAGAAGCCTGAATGAGTTCGAGGCGTATAGGAAGAGGCACGAGTCGAAAGATGACGAGAAGGGGCGGAACGTAGCTGAGGGGAATGGAAAAAAACAGGAAAGCGGCGAAGAGTCGGGGAAGGGCGAAAACAAACCCGGTGAGGACAAAAATCAAACAGATGGAAAGAAGCAATACACACAGGAGTTAAAGAGTTTCATTAAGAACGTAAAAATAGTTGATCATCAAAGCATCGAAGTTGTATATGATACGAACGAACTGAGTGACGATAGTAGACCCTGCGCTGAACTGACGACGGACGAAATTTATTACCTCCTGGTGGAGTCCAAAAAAAGCGAAAACGATTTAAAGAAGAATATATTCACATTTTTGAAGTACCTTCCTCTATTTATCAAGTGTATAGAAAATAAAAGTTTAATCGAAAAATCCATCTTAGAATCCAAGCTTCTTTTAAATGATGTCCCCGGGAGTAACCCTAATGAGGAAGAGGTGCTGCCCCACTCGGATGAAGTGCATGTGAATGTGAACCCCTCGCAGGAAAATCTGTCCCCCATGGAAATACAAAACAAGTTAGACGAAATTGTACATTTTGAATGTAACTTGTCTGAAAATTTGGAATCCATTTTTAAGGCCGGAGTAGGAGTCCTAGATATGACGAAGGGGAGGAAATTCTGCACCGGGGGGGTGGACACGGACATGCACAGAGAGACAGACATGAATGGAGACCTCTTGGATGGTACCTGCGGGGGGAATGACGCGGCTAGGAAGACCGTCAACAAGATGCAAAACCAACAGGAACAGGGTGACCAGACAAAGGACGAGTACTTTCAACACCATACCACCTTTAACAATTTGGCCGATGTATCAAAAAATTTCTTCAGCAAAAAAAATAACAGCTCTCTTATTCTCCCTCTATCCAAGATTAACGACTTGTCTCTCATAAATAACATCAGCACTAGGTCAAACAATGACACGAAGGAAGAGCTCTCCGAAAGTGAAGCCGCCTTCTATATATACAAAAACAACATGGAGAAACTTAACCTCTACGGGATGGACCTACTCATAAACTTAAACAATAAATTGACTTACAAGATTAATCACATTTATAGTCTCATTCAGTTTTACTCCATGCTGGCAAAGGATGTTTTCAACGAGGGGTAGCTCGCCATCCAGCGGAGCACGCGGCTGACCAGGCCGCAACGTTTCCCTCACTCGTAGTACCTCCGGTGCTCCCTCACATCGTTGGAAATTATTTTGATTATTTCCTTTTTCTTCCCGTCCAGCGCTTTCCTCATGTGTGCGTAAAGCCTTCCCCCGTATTTGTTCATTTTGCTGCAGAGGGGGAGGCAGGAAGTGGGGCAGGCGTGAAATGCAGGCAGACGGGGAAGGCGTAAAAACGAGCGTAGTGCCCCGTGCTCACAGCAAGGGTGAGGAGGGCTATTTCTTCTCCTTTGTCTCCTTTTTTTTTTTTCTTTTCCATTTTAAAAAACGTGCTCACTGCTCCAATTTTTTAGCAATATAGAGATTTTCCTCGCTGTAGGGCAGGTAGAGCATCTCCGCGCTGGCATTCTGCTTCGCGCCGCTGTCCGCTTGTCTGTGGTGGCCCGTGGGGCCGTACGCCTTGTCGATCTTTTTGACGATGTCGCTCAGGTCGTCTTAGCGGGTGTGTGTGTGGAGGGGAACGCACGTGTGGATGTGAATATGGATGCCTATGCATGTGTGGGCTAGCACACAAGTCCATTCGTAGGGAAGCGCATGGCTTCCTCTGCGCAGGCCCCCTTTTCGCAAAGGGGCGCGAGAATTACGTACAGTCAGCGGACATGTCCACGTGGTGGATTTTCAGAAAAGTCACGTTTCCCGCCCCTTTTGCGCTGGCCTTCTCTGGGGGAGGGTCTTTACCGCTGGGGCTAAAAATGGGTTGCGGGAAAGGTCAAGATGGCATAAATTGGCGTGAAACTATGGGATGTATGCCTCCATTGGACTGCTTTATTTTAGTCTGTTTTTCTAATTTGCCACATGGAAGGACCCCCCTGAGGGGATGCATATACAGGGGTACCCCTACCGATCAGATGCCTACTTTTTTTTCTGTCTCTCATTTTGTTTTCATTCTGTTCTCATCTTTTTTACGTGCTTCCAGTTGAGGAAGAACCAGCGGGCAACAGAATTAACACATGAATAAAGAAAATGACATTGTTGCACAGATTGTCGTACAGGTAGCTCAGATGATTTGTTAACAGGCCCCTTATCGCTGAAACGTATGAATCGAATAGACACTTTATCGCTTCCTTCCTCTTTCTGACGTGGCTAGCTGTGTTGTCCCCTGTGTCTGTAACTTTGAGTCTCTCATTTAATTCTTTAAATTTTTGCAGCAGGTTTTTCTGCATGGTGTTTATTCGTTCGCTGTGGGATGGAAATGACATATCGTTTAAGCTGGGGTGATTTATCGCTCGCGTGGTGAGGCGACGCTTTCTGCTAAAATGGGAGGTGCGCATTGGAGTGATCCTCCTTTCTGATGTTTCTACGGTGATACGGTTCTGCGGTTCCACGCGGTGGTCTCCCTGCAGGTGAGTTTTACTCCTTCTGAATGGATGCTTACGTGCACAGCGACTCATGGCGCTTATAGACGCAGCGGAAGGTGAAGTAGGCAGCTTTCTTTGACAGGACTTTCAAGTAAGTGGCCAGGGTGGACATGTCCTTCGCATACTGATGAGGGGGTGAAATCGGGGAAGGGTCACAGATACCATGTGTCGCGTTCGTAGTGGTGTAAGCGTCGGTGGCATACACAGGGGAGTGGATTCAATTATGCACACAGGGCTTCTTTCCACTGAGCAGAAATGAACTCCTTTGGGGTGAGCTGTTTAATCCCCCACCGGTGTGTATTGAACCCTACCTCGCTGTGTATCTTCCCAAAATATATATCATTTGTAGTGACGGAATGGAGACCGTGAAGTTGAGAAAAAGTTCTCTCAAAAAGTTCCGATACGGTCTTTTTTTCAAATTTAAACAAATGAATCAGCTCCGTTCTGCGTGACACATGATCGGGACAAAATACAAAAGAGGACATGGCCTTCTTATTCACCACTAGGTCAGTCAGTTGGAATTCCTTCTTGTTTAAATTTTCCTTCAATATATTATTCTTATATATGACATGTGAAAGGTCGTATGAGATGAATAGCGAGTGGTTGTATTTCGGTTGACTCTCTTTAGGGAAACCCTTCGATGGAGTTCTTTGCACTACCGTACTTATAAGGTGGATAATGTACATACATGTGTAGAGAAAGAACTTCACATCGAGGTAGTCCCTTCGGATAATTTCATTCTCTGCATAGGAGGACGCATCAGGGGGGTGGTCCTTCCCGGGGCGCTGTTCTTTCTCGATGTTTGGTTCGCTTTTCTTGCTGTTATTCCCTTCCTGTGGGTGTGTCTCCTTGCCGATTCGAGTATGCTTTTTCGTTCCCATTTCGGAGGCCCCCTTGCCGCTCCCTTTTACTTTCATCCCACTGGGTGTGATTCTTTTTGTGTTGCTGACGTTTGTCTTCGTGTTGGAGGCGGTGGTCTCGTTTTCTGCCCCAGCGCCTGGTTTAGGGGTGCACTTCTCCGGTGGAACCGTCTCGGATGAAGAGGCCTCCGTGGACAGTTCATTTCCCATTTGGTGGATCCTCTTCGCCCCTTGTTCTTCCGCCGCTTGTTGTTCTTCTTCCCCCCCTTTGGATCCCCCCTGCTTATCAAAGAGGCCAAAGCTGAGGTAGTCTACTGGGCTCTCTTGCAGCCCGCTACCTTTGGAGAACACCAAGTGGGGCAGGTGCGGGCCTATCATGCGAGAGAGAGAAAAATTACTCACAATGGAGTCCTCCCGTGCTAAGTCCAGCTCGTATCTTTTTTCTATTTTTCGGAATGTGCCAATTTGATAGATGCAGTTTTGCACGTGAGTGAATTTGTCTTGGAGGTTTATCTGGTGAGTCCGCGGGGGGGTGGAGAAGCTGGACAAGTTGGCCCCGTGAACAGGGCTGGCAGGGCTGATAGGGCTGACAGGAGTGACACGGCTAACGGGGCTAAGAGGCCTAACAGGGCTGACAGGGATAACCATGCTTGCTGCCCTGGACGCCCTTGACGACTTCTCCATCTTGAGGGAGGCCTTAGACGTGTATGCTGAGTGATTAGCTTTGCGCTCCGCGGGATATGGCACCCCCCCAGTTTGTCCGCTGGACTGCCCAATGCAAACCCTAATCTGATAAACAAGAAGATAAAAAATGAGGAGGTTATTTTTTATCTCCTCCTTTGTGATGAGATAGTGAAGCATCTGTCTGTCTGGCGGAGGTGGTGTTGTTCCAGATTGGCTCCCGCTCCTGTTGGCGCTTCTGGACGCGATGGCCCGAAAATTGTTGTTAAAGATATACTGATTGGCACTGAACACATTTTCGACGTCTTGTCTCTTCTTCTCAATGGAAAGAAGAAGCTGATTTGAATTATGCAGAAATGCTTCGATTGTATCGAGGTCGACGTTGGTTTGTCCAGTCCTAACGAGCATGGTGCAGTACGTTTCTACCTTTTTAATTTCTGCTCTTAGTTTTTTTTCACCACATAGGAGCTTTTCCTTGATTGATTTGAAGCTAACTTTGAATGAGTCCAGCAGTTGGGTGTACCTACCGGTGAATTGATCCTGGCTGCGATCGTCCTGGTCTGTGTTCTCTTGGAGCATTTTCTCCATCAGAGAGATGGTCTCTTTAAAGTGTCGGTAATCCTCCCAGTCTTCTTTCGTCACCTGCTCATATTCTTTCACCAGCTCGGACAATTTTTTGGAAGCGTCGTCAAACGTTTTTTTATTTGCTTCAAATTCCTCCTCTAGTTTTATGGCTATCTCTTTGATTTTTTCTTCGTCTCTTTGGAGCTGCTCTTCCAACTTGTCCGCCTCCATCTTTTGGAAGCATTTTGTGCTTTCCCTTTCGGATCTCATTTTCGCCTTTAGCAGGTTCTCGAAGAGGATTTCTTTAAAGCGCTGGTAGTAGGTGGAGGTAAACCTCTGGAAGAGCTGTTTTAGGAGATCCTCGTTGAATAGCAGCTCGTCCGGTAGAGATAGCTTCGGTAGCTGAGGCAGTGAATGGCTTGTCTCCCCAGAGTGATTCCCCCCCGGATTAACCTCCTGGTGAGAGGAGTTTCCCCTTTTTGCTTCCTCCCCCTTCTGCTGAATGTAATCCCTTCTAATCTGCGCAATGTTTGACTTTATAGTGCTTTCTCTTCTCTGCGCTGCGTAGGAGGTCTTTTTGCCTGTTTCTCGAGAAGGCCGTGTCTTCCCCTTTACGCCCCTTTCGAGACCAGCTCCAGTATCCCTAGCAGGGTGTAGCAGCTCCATCATGTTACCCCTATAACTAATGTAGGTGTGGTGCCAAATCGTCTCTTCGTCGTATGTGTATGAATGTTTTTGCCCAACTAGTTGTCTGATTATGTTCCTTTCATTCTCATTAATGTTTGTTTTCTGTTGGCCCTTTATATCAGTGTGCTTTCCCTCACCTGGAGTGTCATTTATGCCGCATCGTCGGTTAGCCTTCCGAAGAGACAGCGACTCGCTCTCTGTGCTTATCACCTTAGCTTTGCTCAAAGCGGCGAAAAAGAAATCCCCCCAGAGACGCTTCGACTCAGCGAAGAGAGTCTCATTAATGGTGCAAGCTTCTTCTCCCGCGTGTGTTACATAGCTTTCCAGTTTTCTCTTTGCTTGGTCCTTAATGGCTAGCAGCTTCCTCATCCTCAAGTGGTCCTTACACTGTAGGCATTTCTTCACAACAGAGTTATACTCTCTCAGGAGTGTGTCAAAGTTGGAGATGAAGACCCCATTCTGCTGACTGCACTGGTGTAGAAATTCCTTTATTTTCCTTTCAACGTGGGATCTCATGAGCAGTATGTCACTTTTTAACGTCTCCAAGATGGAGAAAAAGGATAGTATGAAATAATCGTCTCGAAAATTCAGCATGTTATAATGCGTCAGAATGTTGTTTGTCAATTTTTTAAAAACACTTCTGTCTTTGGGAACTTGTGCGAGGATTATTTCGTGAGTGTGCTCGTCATTTTGCTGGGTTACTCCATTTGGGTCCTCTTCCATGTGGTGAAACTCAGGAAGGTTGCCTTCTTTGTGATGCTCCCTTATACTTGGTTCCCTCTCTGGGTGGTCTTCCCTTTTTACTTCTCCGTGTGGATCCCGCTCTGGTGCCATGTGGGCCCCCCCTGAGGTAGTGTCATCCCGTTTCGCCTTCTCAGCGCACTTCGCCTTTCGGGGCCATTTTGGGGAAGACTTTCGGAGAGCCTTTTTTCGGGCCCCCCTCCAAGGCGGCCCTCCTCCATCTGTTGCTGTCGCCGTTGTGTTGGCCGCCTCCCCTGCCGATGCTGCTCTTCTTCCTCCCCCCACGGCAGCGGCGAAATTGTCCAAGTGGAAGAACGTGTGCAGGACGACCTCCCTGTAGCGGACCATTCCTGTTTTTATCTCCTCGTACCTTGTGAGGTACTCCTCGTAGTTTTGATTCGCCTTCTGGTATATGTCGACGCATTGCTGTCGGGGGTGTTTCGCCGCTTCGTTGTTTGTTCCGTCCTCTGCTTCTGCTGCCCCCTCCGCTTCTTCCCTCTGTGCCGCTCCGCCCTCCTGTGCGGCTAAGAAGCCCTTGAAGAACTCGTCAGGTGCGAGGCCAACCCTTCTGGCGTACACCGCATTGTAATTATCTTCGAACATAGCAATGAGCCGGTTCAAAACTCTGTCCGTGGATAACCCGTTGAGATAATTTTGCGAGATGGTGGAGTAGACGCAGCAGATGTCCCGATAACTCGGCTCGTGAAGGATATCGCGGAAGAAGACATATTCACATCGGTGATATCGGTCGTAGACATAATTATACGTCTTGGTTACGTAATCATTAAAGTGAGTGAGAAAGTCGAGAAAGAATTGTTTTCCCCTTTCCATTTCGGCACGAATAAGTTGGGAAGCCTCCTCTGTGCTGAAGAAGATTTTATCCTTCATTTTCTCTTCCAGATGTTGAGTGTTGTCACTCATTCCTTTTATTACCCTTTCGTGTTTCTTCTCAAAATGGGAAATAAATTTTTTTATTTTTTCATTCAAGTTGGTAAAGAGATTTTGTACACATTCCCATTTCTCTTCGATCATTTCTCTTTTTTTGTGTACCTCTTTTTTGATCTCCTTCAGTATGCACTCTTTTGTATTTTCTGACGAGTCCTTCATGAGGAGGGTGCTGCTCATCTGGGGGGCATCCACTGCCTTGTGACTTGTTGGGATCAACTTCTCACAAAGTTTTAACTCCATCAGAACTGTGTAGTATGTAACATAGAAGTGGTTATTTTTCATTTTTCCGTCTGAGTTCTTTTCTCTTTGTGATGGATCTCCCTCCCACTTTAACTCCAACCCTTCTTGTGTGAGTCTTTCCACCTGGGCCAGTATGCTCTCCATTTCGGTCTTTAGCAAATTCGCCTTTAAAAATGTTTCTCTTTTTATTTGCTCTATGCAGGTGTCGACCTGTTTGCGGTAGTCCTTTATCAATCTATAAGAATCGTCTTCTACTTTGCTCAAATATCTGTGCGTGCTCTCTATCCGTAGCTTTCTCATTTTTTCCATTGGGCTGCTGATAGCGTTGTGTAGGGAGTGTTCGTCTGTGTGTTCCCCACTCGGTCCTGCGCTTTCTTTGCTGATTGTTGGCTCAGTTTGGCGGTTGCCTTCGATCTTCTCTGTATCTCTTGCGTGATTATATCGCGTTCTGCTTCCTTCGCGTTGTCTCTCCCCCCCATTCGCATCGTCGTATTGTTCCTTGGATTCGTTTTCCTCGTCTAAGGTGCATGCACTCCTCCCCTCCGCGTGCTCTTCTACATATCTCATTACTTGTGCAATGTTGTCCGTCCGGTGTGTCACTTTCCCCCCTGCAATTACGTGCACATCATTTTTTGCCAATTCGTCATTCCGCCGTTCGGTAAAATTACTTTTATCGAAATTTTTTTTTTTTTTCTCCTTCTCGACGGATAAATCTTCCTCCCTCTTTTTTTTGTTCTCCAAGAAGGAGTTCATTTTTTCACTGAAATTTGTCTTCTTCATTTTGTAGTCACTACATCACTTTGCTTCTCTCTCGCGCGAGCAGTTATTCTACTCGTCTTTATTGCTGACCTATATACTGACGCGAGAACCGTCGTTGTCTGTGTCGGTGCTGCGACGATCCAAATGGAGGGCATCCATTATTTGTGATCCGCCAAATATAGAGCGGAGGTATATAGGACACTTCAGACGGCATAGGTCTGAAAAGGTCTTCCCCGCATGTTGTACACACAAATATGTAGGCGAACCGGGGGGAGCTCACACTATACAGGGGTGCATCACTTGGGGAGAGGTAAACTGGTGGACTGTGACAAATAGTTATTATTTTTGAGAGGCATTAAAAAGAAAGAAAAAAAAAACGCAAAACTGGAAAAAATGAAAAAAATGGCGAAACTGCGAATCTGTGGGGCCAATTTTACCGCCAAAAAAAGGCATGTGCCAAGGACAGCCAATGTGAAGGTCTTAACCATGCAGACCAGTTTTGCCCAAACGAGAAAAATTGCAATTCAACGTTTGGCAAGACGTCCAAATAGGCAAAAGATTTTCGCATGAGAAAATTAAACAAACCAAGTAGAGAAGTATAAGAGAGCATTCCCTTGTGCATATGGCACAAGATGATGCAAGCCCCTGTCTTGCGCACATTTCGAGAGAAGCAGAGGGGAAGGGAAAAGCGGAGGATGCATTCCTTTTGGCGTTTTCCTTTTTTTATATCAAGTTCGATAGTGTCATGAGTATATTTGAAGACCCATACGGATAACCTCATGTAGAGGAAGAGGTGAAAAAGAGAAAAAAGAAAAGAAAAAAAAAATTCCACTCTCTTGAAAATAACAAATATGCGGGAAGATACGGGTTACTAGTTTTGCACACAGGATTGTAGGGTGGGCCTTGTGGCATGTTATAACTTCATCTAGGTGACTTGTTTTTTTCTTTTTTTTTTTTTTTTCTATTGTGGGACTTTTATCTCTCAACGTGGAAAGTTGGTAAAAGTGACATAATCCCATGTGAAGAAAAAAAAAGAGAGTGGATCTTTCCCCCCATCACTATACGTGCATCACTATATCGGAGTGGATATAAATACTTGCCATGTTTCTGTTGTTCTGCTTCTTTGGAGCAATACGCGTCGTTTGAATAGCCTCCCTGTCTATGTGGCTCTTTTTGCAATCATTTGTGCCGCCTTGACGGGGAGTAAACTGCCATGATTAGAAGCACCTACTTGTGCCAGGAACCGGTGTGAGCGAATTTGTGTGTGCCAGAATTTGTCTCTGCGGAAATTTTTCTGTGCTCGAATGTATGTCCTTTGGTGTACCTCACCTGGTGGCACGACAACGAAACGGTAAAGAAGTAGTAATCCCTTTAAATTCACTTTTCTCCTTTTTTCGCCCTCCTTTTTTTCCTTCCCCCCTTTGAACACCACAAACGGGAAGAACAAATCGACATACACCACGACGGGACAGCAGCCGAGGATCCCTCCTGGCATGGCTCCTTTCAACAGGACCAGATTTTCCCCAATTTAATTTAAAAAAATTATTCTACCCGCGCTGCAATTTGTGTGTACTTTTGTAAGCATTGTCATGGGTTATGTTCCACTCTAAGAAGAGAAGGTGCTGGAGAAGGTCTCTTTCGAATTAAAAACCTTAACGGAGAAGTTGGCCATTTCGTTTGATTACTTAATCAGTTTTTCTTTTTTCTTTTTCTCACCACTTCATTCTATGTTATTTTTTTTTTCTTTTTCACGAGCTCAGAAGGGGAAAAACCAAATGGCCTCGTCTTAGCGCGAGCCGTTTTGCGGCGGTTGTCGCGCAGGGGGTGGGCCTGTTTTCCAGTGGGGCTGATTTGTTCACAGAGACAATTGCATGCGCGTCCATTCAACAAATTGCTGCTTCGTAGGGGTGGAGACTCATCATTTTCACCTTTTCGCATTTTCCCCTTTAAATTTTGGACATTTTGGCATTTAAAATTTTTTCTCTTTCACCTTCTCTCATTTGCCGCCTTACCGCTTAACCCACGCAATGCTTCTGCGGGCATTGGCTCCCCACGGCTTTTTATTTCCTCTCCTTCTCTTTAATGACCACAAAGGAGGCCCGTTTTGAGTTGTGTCCATTTTAACAAAATTGAAGTAGCCTTCTTAATTTTTTTTTTCTTTTTTTCCTTCCCTCCTTTGTTTTTTATGTCGTCGCGCTGTTTAATTTTCTAACACAGCCTTTTTATCCTTCGGGGATGAAACAAAAAGACAGGAATGAATTGGATGTACTGTTTTTTTTTTTCTTTCTTTCCTTAGTTTCACTGCATTGTTTCTCGATGAGGCCTAAGGGAAGACACACATTGGAGGGGTTTTAAAATAAATGTCCGCATTTGCGGGTAAGAAGTTGCATTATATTACTTCACTCCGTGTGTTCTTTCCCCCTCCCGTGCCCGTTTCGCCTGGCAGGTCTGCACTTTCGCGTCTGCGCAGTCTGAATACACATGCGAGGCACAAATAAGAAGGTTGGCGAAGAGTGTTCCTGTCAGGTAAGCGCTGCCATCTTCGTCTGGACACGCGGGTATACGAGAGTATACTCACGCGCATTTCTTCAAGGCAGACGAAGACGTTTCTCGTTTCCAAAAAGGGAAACCGAGCGGACGAAACATGGCTGTTTCAGGGGTCGGAGTTATGGAAAGTGATGACGTAAGCCAAGGAGACTACTCGTGTAACTCCGAGACAACCGCAGGTGCCGAGACCAGCGCGAGTGAAGATGATGGGAAAGGGATTCAAATTAAAATCAAGAGAGCCATCGAAAATGGCATACTGGATGAAGCGAAAAAAAAAAAAAAAAGGAAAATCCTCAATTTTGACAGAAGCTTGAAAAGAAGAAAAAATTTCAGAATCCAACAGGAGGGATTCAAAATTAATATTCGCAAATTCAGATTGTTCAAAATTGACCACGTGAAAAAGGAAGGGGCGGAAATGCTCCCCCCAGCGAGGAATTACCGGGACCGCCCCACTGGGACTGACGCGGACAAAGCGGGTGCTACGAAATGAAGTGGACGTTTAGGGGAGGGCCACATACGAAAGAGAAACATTTTACCTCCCCCTGGGACCATCCCGTCTCTTCATTAAAAGTGAGCGACGGTAGACCTGCATCCAACGTGGAAACTCCCGACACAACAAGAAAGAAAAAAAAAGAAAAAAAGAAAACATAGGTATATTTATAAATGAACACCACTACACAGCGTGAGGACTCACCGGATGCAAACCTCCGAAAGGTGTGTACAAAAATGTAAGTCTTTCTTTTCAACAGGAACATCAAACTGGACAAACGTGGTCCAATCGAAAGGGCAGAGCCATCCCCAGAAAAGCAGAATGGGAGGAAAACCCAAGATAATAAACAGTCACAAAATGAACGACTGCCATTCGATTTGGAGGGGGGGTGAGACAACCAAAGCGGAGTTGCTTCGCTTGCTGAACATTTCTTATGAACAAGCAAAAAAAAAAAAAAAGACAACTAATGAAATAGTAACCCCACGAAGCTCCAAATCAAAAGAAGAGGAGGAAGGGCGCTTACCTGGATGGACATCAAAAATTCCAGTGGAACGAACTTCCCCCTTTACGCGTGTGCACACTTGGGGCGGAAATGCATTCTCTGAAATTGGCACTTCGCCAGTCCGGGGAGTATGCACACCTGTGTATGTTCGTCTGTGCAAAAGAAGTGTAGCCATATAAGACGGTACCGAGTGGCCAATGACATACCTGATCAATCCCATTGCGCATCCTTTTCCGTTTCTTTCCGTTTTTCCCCCACTCCTCCAATGAGGGCGCATTTGTGTGTATTCGATTGTCCGTAGGTACTTCCTTTGGCGAAAGGGACAGTGCACGTGTCGCGCTCATTTTTTGGCAGCACACAACTGTCGCTGTACGTACAAGCCAATATTCGTACTCCCGTCCGGATGTTTTAAAATTTGTTTTTAATTTTTGTTTACTTCATTGGTATGCTTTATTTTGTCCAATCTTACTTTAACTCGTTTGATCTTACCTTCGCATCAACAACTCATTTGCGTCATTCCTAATCGGACTCAACAATACGCTCCGTAGCCTCTACATTTTGGCGCTCTGAATTCAGCGGTTCCGTTGGGGGGTTATTTTTCCGTCCACTCTTTCTGCTCATTTTTCCCTCCCTCATCTGTGTCAATCTGTGCGGACAGCTCTCTGAAGTGACCAGATAACTCCGGAAGAAAAAAATGAAGCTAAGCCTTTGTAGCGTGCTTTTTTCCTTTGTACTGTGCCCCCTCTTCGGATCATCCAGGGAAATACATGATGAAGGGCAAAAGGGCGGAGTAGAAAACAACATGGGGAACGTAACAATAGAAGTCCTGCCCGCTGATGATGATAATGACGATTCGGAGTTAATCAATTATTTGTTGGATGAACTGATGGGGGCTACTGAGGGGAGTGAACAATTCTGAATGGACTACCGGTGGGAATGGCCGCTTAACAGGGGTGCAAAGCCTGCGCAGCGACAGTAGGAACAGAGTAAACTTCTAATCAGGGTGCAGATCAAAACCGTGCTTGCGGTGTGTGACCCCATTGGGGCTATTAAAATGCACAAGTGACATTAAACCTGAACATATGAGATGAAGCAAAAGCGAAGAAGAACAGACAAACTCGCGTCGGATGCCTATTTATGAGTTGCCCCTACAGTAGTGAACCGCTTTGGGGGCGTGCTTTGCACTATCGCGCTGCCGCGTTTTGTAGACCCAGCAATGAGTGTGGCCCGTGGCACGCTCTACATTATATATGATCTATTTTGTTTTATTTATTCTATTTTATTTTTTTTTGTTTCTTTTCTTTTTTTTTCCAAACGTGGGAGTATTTGCCAAACCCGTTTAAGCACCTTTTGGCAAAACAGTTTTCAACTCCCTGCCCGCTTTGCGACGAATTGGAACTGCCTTTTACAAGGTGGCAACGAAAAGGGGGGGCCGAGTACTCCGTTAAAAATAAACTCACCTACATGTGTATATGCACAGGGGCGACATTTGCAACGTCGGGGGGTCATGCAGGTAGCTTCGCCCATGCGCCGAATGGGATAGGGGTGCCCGTTGCGGATGCTGCGAAATTTGCGTTTCCAGGGGCACCCGCTATTATCCGCGTGTATGCATGCTTAATTTTCGCCCCATTCGTCGCTGTGTGCATAGCATTGTTCCACCAGGGAAGCGTCCTTAACCTTTTTTTTTTTTTAAAGGTGGAAAATAATATCATGAGGCGATGTTGCTTTGTGTTTATATGTAGTCCTGCCCCTTTTTGTTCCCACTGCTTTTTTCACCCATTTTTACATTTTATACTTCTTTCACAGCGATATTGGAGAATTGCGCTAAAGGAATATACCTTACGTCGTTAAACTTTCCCATCCTTCGAATTTGTCGATTCTTATAGAGAGACTTTTCCATGGAAGTGTAGTTTCCCGACGTGGACACGTTTTGCAACCCTACGTTTTTCCTTGTACGTGCTTAACTTTTTTGGAGGACCAAAAAAGGAGTTACAAGGGGGGACAAAATTTGTATATATCTTTTTCTTTTTTTTTTTTTTTTATACAACATTTTCACCTTTCCTGTTGAGAGAAAAATTCATCAAGGTGACATCACAGGGTTGGCTTAAATTAAGGGAGGAAAAAAAAAAAAATAAGCAAAAGGAACGTACTTAGAATGATTAAATTCATCCCGTCGCTCCTCGTGAAGCCTTTCCTCTACATCGGTTTAGTCGTCGTTTTAAAACATGCTTTGTGCATTGTCTACTGGGTGTTAAATTGTGTAAGTTCCTGCTTGTGGTGTATCTCTGCTTGGGCGAGTTGGAGTTTTTATCTCCCCGCAGATTTGGCATAATTTCATACGTAGACAAATGCACACAGATCTGCCTAAGCTCATGTGCGTGCCTCCGTGCGTGAGCGCGCTTCTCCATCCTTTTCTTTTAGCTCAAGTGCAAAATATTTGTAAGAAGACTGAGAAGCTATGGCGATACAGTTATCATCACTGGGTGCACGGACGGAATTGGAAAGAGCCTGGCATATTCACTGATAAGGGAAGATGTTAATTTGTTCCTCATAAGTCGTAATGAGGATGCGCTAAAGAGCATGAAGGAGGATCTACTCGTCAGAAACAGGAACTACAAGGGACAGATCGATTATGCAACGTTTGATTATAATACAAATAGCTTCAACTCCTATCGGGGTATTCAGGAGAAGATCGAAAAATTGGATGTCGGAATTTTGATTAACAATGTGGGGGTCTCCTACCCGCACCCGATGGTAAGTGCAGTGAAGCGCGGTGGAGGAGACGGAAGTGGCGACCTCACGGGTGTATATATGCGCAAAGTACCCGTAAAGTGAAGAGAAAGCTTCTTCTTTTCTGCTTTTTTTTCCCTCCTTTTTTCTTGGCTGATTCCTGCTCTCCCCCTCCGTAGTACTTCCACGAAATGGACATCCACCTGATAGAGCAGCTGGTGAATGTGAATCTGTTGGCATCCTATTACATGACGAAGTTGGTGTTGCCGGGTAATTCAGCGCAGGCGTTTCGTTCTCTGCGCCATGTATGTGCTTGTGCTATAGGCGTTTAAAGATTTATGTGTGTATATATATATTTTATTTTATGTATGTATTTATTTATTTGCTTTCTGCCCCCCCAGCAATGCTGCGCAAAAAGAAGGGACTCATTTTGTACACGTCCAGCGGCGCAGCTACCCTGCAGTCCTCTCCCCTATACACAGTCTATGCGTCAGTTAAGGAGGCCATTTCTTCCTTCGCCAATTCGTTAAGTGTACGTCCCAAAAAAGGTTCCAAGGACAAGCGCAATAGCCAAACAGACGCATGTAAAAAATTAGAACATTCATTACGCACTTAGTGGGGCTCCTTTCATGGGATTTTTTTTTTTTTCTTTTTTTCCCCTAAATGGCAGGTCGAGTTGAGGGAGCAGAACATCCAGGTGCAGTGCCACGCGCCTCTATTCATCGTGACGAAGATGTCCAAGATAAGGAAGCCCAGTGCATTCGTCCCAACGCCGGATGCATACGCAAAGAGCGCAATTAAAACGATGAAAGAGGGGAATAGCACTTCCAGCACTGTTATATCCTCACCCTATTTCCTGCACAGAGTGCAAATATGCATCTACAACGCGGTTCCGAAACTTTGGTTTGACACCATATCCTTCATGACACACAAGGCAGTTAGACAGAGGGCGTTGAAGAGGAAGGTGAGAAAATCTGATTAATTTGGTTTACGTAAGGATGTAATTTTTTTTTTTTTTTTTTTTCCCTCCTATTTTTATCCACGCACTTTTAGCCATTTATCCACTATTACACACTTTTGCTAATAACTCCATTTGGCTAGTTCCCCTGTTTGCATTTTTCACCTTTGAAAAAAGATACACAATTCGCCGAATGGGCAGCTGTGCTGCTGGGGTGTTCCCACTCAGGGGCGTCTCCTTTTGGTAGCTTACTCTATACGTGGTAATCAATCTGTAAGTGGGCAGTTGCACGGTGGAGGGCCCAACCGTATTTTCTGGTTCGGGTGGATGCCTCGAAGCTTGGAGGATAAATGCCCCCCAGGGAGGCGCCAAAATGGATGCTAGGCACATGGTTGATATTGTGACTCTTCCTTGCGTAAGTTACGGCCATGTGCTCCGGGTGGTGACAAAAAAGAAAAGGTCTTAACGGCTATTCATACGAAGGAGCACCACGACGGGTTTTGCACGGGGAGTCCCCGCGCGGGAGGGGCACACAAGAGGAACAAGGAAAGAGGGATTCACGAGATGATAACTCCCCTCGTGTCAAAATGTTTCTTATTCTTTTCGCTTCTGCGGGGAGCACCACTGGGGCAAACTTATCTGTGCATCCGAAGTGGTCGGTTTTTTCCATTAAGTTAAAGCGGCACTTGAGGTTCGATTGCATCGGGGTGGTGATGCTACCGAGCGGTATATATATGCCTCCTTCGCAATGCGCCTGGAAAGATTTGCCACTCCTTCGCGAGGATCAGAGCCGTGTATATGTGCACATGTGCGACCAGTTGTCTTCGCGTCAGAGTTTTTGAGCGAGCATTTGTCATTTCACCCCCCAGTCAGCACCAAAAAGGAAGCAAAGTATATGCGCGCAAAATATATAAACGCGCAAGTGTATATAAAAGTATCTTTGTGTACTGACCTTTGCGTGCATTTAAGTGTATTGTCGCGCGGGTCTCTTCCCCTTTTTATGCCCAGTTCGACACGAACGCATAGCAGAGCATTTTGGCAGCTTAGTGCTGCAGCGGTTAGTGAGCATCGTGTTGTGAATTGGCCACTTGCGCGTGCAAGGATATGAAACCGCTGTGTAGCAGTGTTATATATGTATAACATCTTCTCACCATAGGGCGTCAGATGGCCTCAATTCTATCGCATCGTATTTTTCACACGAGCTGCCCCCCTTTCCGCACGTCCGCTTCGTCCCTGTTGAGTGAGGCAAATGTTTTGCAAAATTTTACAACCGAATAGGAACTCTCATTTGGGGACTCCTTCTAATTTGTCTCGGCGTGGGTCAACTCTGCGGAGGGTTCCGTCAACCCTTTGTCGCTGCGCGGTAGGCTCGGGCGGCTAGCAACTGGCCGGTTAGTTTCTTTGGCCTTGTTCAGCTCTATTTCTACTAGCGGTAGAGTCTCGTCGCAGTAGTTTACCTACCTGCGTAAGCCGCGGCAGAAGTTTGCCTCGGTGGAACGTCGGAGCTTCCCTGTGTTGAGTTGACGCGCCCACCCCCACCCCGACAAGAATGCACACGGACAGGTGAAGCTCGCAAGTAGGCATCACCCACATTTAAGAAAACGAAAATAAAATGCGTACCTCCGCCCCTCTGGTGTTGCTCCTGCTGTTTCTGCTAGTTGTGCTCCTGGGCATAGATGAGGTGTCGTCAAATAGCAAAGCGGGAAATAATAACAGGAATGCAAAGAGCGGGAAGGGGGGAGGCGCAAGTAAGCAGGGCAAAAATGAAGCGAGCGGAAGTGCTGGTACGAGTGGAAAGGGCAGCCAGAAAGGGAAGAAGAAAGATCCGAGGGGAGGTGCCACTCCCAAAGGACAAACGAAACCACCCGAACAGGGAAAACAAAAAAACAAAAAAGGACAAGACAGCCATTTTGATGAATTCATAAAGGACATGAGAGACAACCAAGATGAAGACAATTTTATGGATGAATTGAATAACTTTGAAAAGAATTTTCACGATGAAGATTTAGAGAATAACAAACATATGTTTGACAACTATGGCAAGGGAGGAGCAGATAATGGAGAGTTCAAAAGAAATGACAAGCTGAATAGTGGAAATGACGGCGGAATGAAACCTGATGCCAACGATTACCAATATTTCGATAACGATGATAATGCTGAGGGAGATGAGGACTTGACAAACATATGGAATAAAAATATGCAGAATTTTGAACCATCTACTTTGTTAACATTTGAAATTCAAGGAAATTCAGAGGAATATCTTTTTGAGGAAATAAGCGATTTGAACACTTATTTTCGAGGAGTGTTTTACTCCAACAATGAATCTGATGATAATAAAATTCTGCTTTTTATCACCGATCCGGATGGAGAAATAATTTACAAGAAAGAAGCAAATGAAGGCATTTTTTACTTTTACACACAGAAAATTGGAGTGTATACAATCACCTTGAGAAATAGGAAGTGGATGGGAAAAAAACTCACAACGGTTGCCCTTGGGTTGGGAGAAAGCCCCTCGTTAAGATCGGAACATATAAAAGACTTCACCAATTATATCGACAAAATTGTTGCTGAAACGAAGAGGTTAAAGAACGAATTGAAGTATTTATCTTCCAAACATATAGCACATATTGAGAAAATGAAAAAAATCACCAACAAGGCCTTTCTCTACTGCTTCATCAAATTGTTTGTCCTCATCTTTTTGTCCTTCTTCACCATTTACTACATCAAGAATTTGGTCTCCAACAAGCGCGTCCTGTGAGGGAGCCCCACTCCGCTCCGTCGAGGTGCCCAGAGAAGGGAGAGCTCGCAATGTTTGCAAAAGTTATGAACGGTTAGGCGATTTCGGCGAAATAGTTAACAAGAATTATGAACAGACGGATCATTTCCGCGAAACCTGTGGGTGAACCGCCAACAGACCGGAAGCACCCCCACTGGGGTAGCAAAGAAGCGGAAAAAAAAAGTAGCGAAGAGGGCAGGTGAACAAATGTGAAGTTATTTGTAAAGTATTTTTTTTTAAGTGATAAACGTTTCCCTCATTGGAGTTGTTTAAGGGAAACATGAGCCGAATGAAATTAGGCGCATGTTGGTGTACATGCAGTTATGGGTGTGTATACGTATCTGTGGTGTTTCCCCCACATGTGAATGTCGCATTTTTGCAACTCCTTTTTTTTTTCAATTTTGAAGCACCGAACTTTAAATAGCCATTTGGCATTTTTTTAAAATCTTTTCTAACGGTACGAAGGGGTGAAGGCAAAATTCACGGCTAGCCGAGAAGAATGGACGAGGGGGAGGAATTAGCTTTCCGATTGGGGATTCCCCCCACGGACCCCCCGTTGGTCGTTTTTGCCAACATGTTCGGTTTTCTGTTGCGAGAATTTTGAGTGACCCTAATTTGTGCGAAGCTTACTGGGGCACATCAATGGGAACTTTTTGCTCCCCTATTGGGATTCTACGACAAGGTGGTGTACCTCGGTATCTCTGAGTTTACATGCGTCTGAATGTGCGGAAGGGCTATATTTATTTTATTTTCTTCCTTTTGGCTTCCTGGATCGGAGGACTTGGGGGGGGTAAAAACCATGTGTGTGGTTCTGTTCGTGTGCCTCTCATAAGCATACGCTTGCGGTTGGTAAGTTATACATTAGCCCCTTAGCCAGTTAGCACGTGAGCGCATTTTTTTTTAATCCTTTTTGCGCATTTCTTTGTAATCGTGCTTGCCTCCTCCGAGGTGAGTAAAAACAAGGGGAACAAAAAAAAAGACGTGGGTTGCTTCTAACGAGGAGAAAATAAAGACAACAAAATAATACCACACGATGGAAAGAAGAAAGAACAGCTTAACAAAAAAGAAAAAAAAATAAACTTAAAAAAAAAAAAAAACACAAGATGTGTTTACTCATTAATTACAACGACGATGTGGGATGTCTGCCTTGTAAAAACGGGATAGGTGAGCGTGGTTAATTTTTTTTTTTTTCCGGTGGGGGTCTTACATAAGCTGCGTTTTCTTGGCACTACGTCTTTGCAAAGGAGGAAGGAAGGTAGGAATGGCAGCCTAAGACAAGTGTTCTTAGTTGGGCGTGCGTATGTTTTTGCTGCATTGGAGGCAGTCCCCCCCTGCGCTTCTACTGCTCCAGCTGCGGAGAGACACACTTCCCATGTATCAACTGACGGAGAAACTGGGTGATACTCTCCGCAACATCGGTGTCCACATGGGAAAGGGTAAAGTGGCTCGTTTTGACATTAAAGGTTCCCTTGGTTTGACAGAAGTAACACACACTCACAGGTTGCTGCAAGGGGGGATTGGCATTGTTAGAAATGTGCTTGGCCTTCCTGTGATAAAAGGGACTGTTTTTCGTAATCCGGATTAGTTCTTTGTATCTCATTATTTCGCTTCTTGGGATGATTCGTACGCAGTATATGTCGTCATTGGTCAGTGGTGTCTCCTTCTGTTCCTTTGTTTGGCAGTTGCTCTGTTCCGTTCCGTCGAACGGTACTGTGCTTCCCGACAGGGGTTGTCCCTCTTTGCGCAGCATGGAAATCTTCCTCATCTGACTTTCCTTCAGGTGAGCCCTTTCGCAAATGGTGCCTGTCACTTCCTCGTTGAGGTTTCTTCGACGTAGGTACACTGTCTTTATGTTCACACGCGTTACGAAGTTGCACGGGTTGATGAGGAATATGTCATCTGGTTTGGGCGGCTCCTCTGGGTTCAGCGACTCGCACGGTTCACTTGTTTGACCCGGCTGACCTGCCTTCCCCCGGACCATCCGATCCCTGACCCCCCCGTTCTGTTCCACCAGAAGGCCAAGGTAGTCATTTCTCGAGTTGTAAATAAAATTACTGCACTTTGCTTTCAGTTTCTCCTTTTTGTAATCCCAGCATTTCATGGTCCTCTTCGCCTGGTCCTCAAGGTAATGGTTGGTCTCTTCGGGTAGCTGATTCGTTTTTCCTTTGGGCTCGTTCGTAGCGGCTTCCTGGCGTTTGATCTCCCCCCCGGGGGAAGCAACATCCTTTTGAACGTTCTCATTATCAGCGCAGGGGAAGTGACTTAACGTAGAGTCCCTCATGCAGAAGGGCTCATCCTCGTCCAAGGAGTTATCCTCTAGCAGCATTTGATCCAAGTCAGACGTATCGCTGGAGGTGCAAATTCGTTTTTCGAGATTTCCATTCGCGTTTGTGTCACTGTTTGGGTGAATTTTTCTATCATCTTGGTTTTTTTTTTTTTTTTTCTTTTTTTTCCTGTGCTCCGTTTTAATTGCCTTGTTTGAAATGAAGAGGACATCCAGAGCCTTGGCGTGGATGACTGTCCTGATGTCTCTCCTGCAGAGAAAGCTTTCGTCCCAAAATTTATTCCGATCGATGCAAATTTTGACGAATTTAACGAACACTAGTTTTCCCTCTATCAGGACAAGGGCGAATTGGTTCTCTGCATCTGTGGGGTCGTCCAAAATGCGTCCTCTGTCGTTGTGATGTTTTGCGTCCATGCTTTTTTGGCTATGCGTTTCGGCATCGGTTGGAAGTGCGTCCATTTTGCGACAATCTTCGGTGCTTTCTCCTCTTGGGGTTGCAAATGGTCCTCCTCGTTGTTCCCTTTCTCCATCATTGGGAAGATTCCCCTTGGAAGGTACCTCCTCCTTACTGTTTCTGCACACCCGAGAAGTTTCCAGCTGAGGACGGAAGGGAAGGACATATATTTCTCCTTCTATCCGTTCGAACAGTGCATGGATGCAACATTTTAGATTTTGCAAAATGCACTTCAGGATGATTTTCCAAATGGGGTCCAGGTTGTTTGTTTTCTCCATCTTTTCATCGCTGTGGATTTTCTTTCCCCCTTGAGGTGACTGTTTCTTAAAGAGATCCAATTGGTCATATTTGTCGATGACGATTGGCTGCTCCGTCTCGCTGAGCAATGGGAAGGTTGCATGTGGCAAGGCGACCTTCCCCCCCCTTTGAAGACTTGATTTGTCTGTATCTGCCAGTTCGTCTCTTGATTTTATCTTGATGGTGAGCCACTGCTTCTTTTGCAATACCTCGTAGTTTCTGATGATCCTCGTTTGTGCGTCGTAGGGGGGGTTTGGCATATCTGTTCCTTGGTGGTCCCTATTAGTGGTGGTTTGCGGCTCATATTGGGTGGCTTCTAGCCCATTTTGGGTGCCTTCCGGCCCATTTGATTTTTCTTCTCCACCCCCATTGAAATGCTTCTTAAAACAGATGAACAGATGCAAATGGTGCAGGTAATAGTTAATAAAAAAGCTAGCTCGCTTCAGCTCATAGAGATATATCAACCACGTGGCGCTGCTGACCCTTCCTGCCAAGTCGATATTCTGTTCGTATTTCTTTTCGAATGTCCGCATGGTTTTCTTCGTTTGAATGAAAGTCCGTGCGGTTGTTCCCCCTCCCACGCGATTACCCAATTTGTTATTTTTTTCCTCTTTTGCCAATCCATTATTTGTGAGGTGTCTGCTATGGTTGAACTTGAAGCCGCTTGCATTCTGCTCATTCGATGTGACGCTGCATCGGTGTTGACTCATATAAGTATCCATTTCGTTGGAGCATATGTGGAGGGCCCTTTGATGAATCCTAAAATTTCTGTCTATGCTAGGAGGCAATATCCTGTCGCCGGGGGAGAATGAGCTCGCCAGGGGGACCCCAGTGAAGTAACTTCCGGACGTAGTTACAGCGGGGTTGCGCATATCGAGATGGAGAAGACTTCCCCAGGCAATGTTGGAGCGGCTGGCGGAGAAATGAGTAACTCGTTCGACGTTGGGACGAAGTGAATCCACCATGGTTGCCGTTACTTCCTCGTCATTCATATGATGCTCTCTTCTTCTCGTTGGGGGATTTTCGCTCATGGAGGGGCGATCTCCTTTGCGCATTGGGCCCTGAGGAGATGCCTTAAACCCGTTTGATATATACCCTCCACATGCTTCTACCATTCCTGTGTTATAATTTCGATGAGGTGAGTAGAGCTGACTAGGCTGTTTAGCATCCTCATATGAGTCCCTCCTGGGGGGCGCCCCACCTGCGATGTTGCATTGAGAGTCTAACTGGGGTGCTCTCGGAAGAAGCAACAGGTTCTTCTTATCCTCTTCCTCTGCTACGTCAACTTCAGTTTCTATGTCTGTATTTATCGCATGGTTGGCCCTTCCACCAGGAGGAGGGGTCCTCTTCTCACCGTTTAAAAAATAGCCCTCAGGAGTATGCGATTTGTGTAGGTTGATCCAGTGGATATCGTTGCCCCGTCGGATGTCGCTTCGTATGCCGCTTCCCATAATGCTGCTACTACTGCTGGTCGAGATGGAGCACCCGCTGGCGACCCTTTCGCCGATTTTAATTTCCTTCCCTGGGTTGGTTGCATCACACGTGTTCACAGTATCTCCAACCAAAGGACCTTTCACTTCCTTCGAGGGGGGATGATCCGAATATGGCTGGCTACCACACTTCACTCGATCTGCGCTCACGGAATGAGCACCTCCATTCACTACACTCTCATGTTTACGTGAGCGTTTCTCTGAGTGTATCCCTCTGTCTATTTTATAAAATGCCGTTACATCGCCGAGCATTGAGAAGAAGGACTCACTTGTGATTTTATTTTTTTTCTCCACCTGCTTTTCCACATTTGTATCCTCTTCGCCTTGATCCTTCCAGGGGATTTGGTGTACCTCCCTGGCATTGCAGAAAGTCATTGCAGTGGAGCTTCCACTCTTAGGACACTCATCAGGGGTTAGACTTTTTGTTTTTTCTTTGGACCATCTTGAACACGTGATGTCGTCCCTCGGGTAGCAGTCTGTCCCAAAGTTCTCTCTATACATGTGGCTGGCTTCTGTCATTTTCGTAAGACGGGTCTGGGTTTGCTCTTCGGGTGTGACAGCGTCCCTGTCGGTGGGCCTACCGGCGTCCGCAGGTGTAGCAGCGGTTGCATAGCCGTTCGCATGGAAGTCTGTATGGCCGTTTGTATGGCCGTTTGTATGGCCGTCTGTATGGCCGTTTGTATGGCCCCTCGCATAGCCGTTCGTATGCCCCTTCGCAGCGCCCTCCACATGGCCGCTCGCGCGGCAAATGTACCTTTCGTAGTTAAAGCTATAAATGGGGTCGTAGAGAGTAAGGAGCTCGTCCCAAACCCCCCCGTGGCACACAGACGACAGCAATCTTTTGTTGATTTCGTCTGTATTCTTCAGGTGACATTTTTCCTCATCGATGATGTTTATCGTTTTGGTTAGCTTCTTTCTGGAGTTCAGTTCGTTGAAAAGAATCATGAGGGAGTAAAACAGAGGGGCGAGAGCCATCAGATGGCTCTCGCTGACTGCGCTGTGGCTCTCCTCAGGCTGGTCTTCCCTCCCAATGAGGCTATTTCTGAAGTCTTTTCTTCGTCCACTTTTCGGATTCATCACACATTTTGCGGGGCCTTTATTTTTTCCCTCCTCATTGGGTGCGACTCCCATGGGGGGCTCGAACTGGGACAGGATTTTACCATTACGGTGCATTATCTTTAGGATGTTTCTCTTCCGCTTCTGCTGGTGTGTGTGTGGGTTCTTACCCCTTGTCGATTGTGTAAGGGAGGAATCGAAACAATTGGGGCGACAGCAGCTGGAGAGCCGCTGGGAGCAGTGCATTGGAAGCGCCGATACGCGCTCGGGTTCCCCTACACCATCGCTTCCCCCTACATCGCTTTCCCAATCTTGTTTACACGATTCTGCGTAATGATGGCAGCACGAGTTGACGCTTGATTCTTCGTACTCGTTTTGAGAGAATATCTTCTCTACTAAGTGGCACGACATGCTGGAGAAATCGGCCGCGGTTTGGCCCGCTTGGCATGTCTGTCCTGTTTGGTCCTTTTCGCCCGTTTGATCTTTGCAGACGCCTTCGTTTTTGTTTTCATCCTTTTCGGCCTCCTTTTGGGTTTCCCTTTCGATCTCCTTTTCGATGCCTTCTTCAATCTCGTCCTCCTCCTTTTTGTCATCCCTCTCCATGGGTTTCTCACAAAGCGCACTGTTGACCCCCCCATTGGGGATTGGCGACCTTCCTGACGAAATCGACGTGCCGATGTGCATCTCATCCACTTTGCATTTGGCTTCACCACTGGGGAGGGTATCTCCTTTTTCACGATCGTCTATGGCACTTTGGGGTTCGTGTCCAGCTGAGTCGATAGAGAGTCCTCTGTGCAGATGCCCCTCACTGCTACGGCGGTAATGAAGTGTCTTATTTGGATCGTTCGATTTGGGGGTTTTTTCCCCCCTGTGATATCTCCCCCCGTGGTGTGGAAGCGAGCTGCTACGTAGTTCACCCGTCTGAGCGAAGTAACCAGGTGAAGTCGTCACATCGTTCAATCGTTTCTTGTGTTTTACATCGGCTGGCGATTTGCCCTCAGTTTTTTTCTCTCCACTGATATATCTCTCTTCTTTTGTGTTTTCCTTATTTGGAGCATTCGATTGATTGCCTCGTTGTGATTCTTCTCTGTGCGTGGAGTTCTCCAACGTTTTCGTGTCTGTATTAATGGGAGGGTTGCCATGGGGGGCTGCCTCTTCACCCAGAATATCTCTGCCTCCCCGTTTTGTAAGAGGTGACCTCTTCGTGTTTTCTCTGCAACTTCCGGGGCTCCACTCGATGGGTTTTTTCTGCATAATACGGGTTGGCTCCCCCTCAGGGTAGTAACCACCGTTTAGGTGTTGACTTTTTTCTCCGTCGACAGAACAGAGAGGGTCACCTGATGGGCCTGTTCTTTTGAGGTGGTGTGTATCTGTTCCCTTCGATGGAACTGTCGACATGTGAGCAACACACGGGAGGATTGCACCCGCTTCATCCGTAGCAGTGGTAACTGCGCATGTAGCAATGGAGGTTTCTCCTTCTTTCCCGTTTCTCTGGCAATTTTTCATCCCCCTCTGATCCTTTTCTTGGTCATTCTCCCTCAAGGGGTATTTCTCGCCAGATTTATAAAATGAACTGCTCTCTATTGGAAGCCTGCAATAACAAACGGAGAGCATCATCCAGAGGATGGTGGGCAGTCCCCCCTGTTTCATCGATGGTAGGGTCCTAACTTTGAGAAGGAGCTTCAGTATCCTCATGACATTTTTTAAGTTAGGGAAACATTTTAAAATACTTAAAAAAAATTCAGTGTGCTTCAATGAGTTGTCTGTATTAACAGAGACATCACAGACGATGTCATTTTTTCTCAGTGTTAGGATAGGGACTCTGGCCGAATCGACCAATTGTAGCTGTACGTTGTCGAAGAAGGCACATTCGGATGGGTGTAGGGGGGTGGTATCTGTGCTGTTCCGTTTGTTAGGGACGTCCAAATGGCACTCATCTGTTGTCACGTTGATTGTTGAGTTGGTTGCGGGGTTGTCGTTGGCATCCTTGCCGTTTGGATTCTCCTCCTGTTCGTTTTGTTTCTCCACTGCTTCATGATGCTTTTCTTTTTCCCTTTCCTCTCTCTCCCGCCTTGTCTTCATCTCCACGATGTAGTCGTAAATATTGCGCAGGATATACTTGGGGTCGTAGCGATTGGCCTGAATGACGATATCGAGGTCGCTTGTTTTTGAGTCCACCCCGTAGGCACTAGAACCAACGGTATATATTTTGATGTCACACCTGAACAAGTGCTTTATTAGCTTAGACAAAAGAGAGAAGATCCTTCGCTTCGTTCGTTTGATATCTTTGGACGGTTTTACCTTTCTGAGCAGGTCGATTAGTAGTTCTTCTGTTTTTCGCAACAGGAGGGAGAAATCCGTTTGGAGGGGAGCGGTTGGTGTGTTGTTCTGCTCATCATATCTGTGAAGTACGGTAGGGGGCAGTACTCCCATTGGGGGGGAAGGACCCACTTTAACGGCGCTGTTCCTCCGAATTGTACAATGGAGGAGGGGCGGCAGATGTATCCTTCGTTTTTCATACAGGTTTAGAGATAAAATTCTTCTGTCGTTTGGGAGGATAAGGTGACTCCTTCTCGCGAAGACCTTATCGTAGTGACTTAGAGTGACGCATCTTTGGCTTCTCTGCTTTTGGGCGGCATCATTACATTGAAGAAGTGCGCTATTTTTAGAGGCCTGCCCAGTATGCGCCATGGCCCCCTTTTGAGCGGCCTCCCCATTTGATGTCACCTGTTCTCCATTTTTTCGCCTCTTCTTTTTTTTTTTTTTTTTTTCTTTTTCCTCCTATTATCATTCATCCGCTTCTCGTTTAGCGGAACGTATGAATAGGATTCGTGCACGTCATGATTAGGATACTCATGGGGGTAGGCTTCGTCGTTGTGTATGCCCTGCATGGCAGTGGTCTCCCCCTTGTCATGCTGCTTCGCATTCCTTCCCTTTACTTTGGAGAAAAAACAAGACGCTGCACCCATCGTGGATGCTTCTACCGAGTAGTCCTCCTCCTCATCATTTTTTTCCACTGAGACGTTTCCATGGCTGCATTTTTTAAGTTCGTTGTATTTCCTTACCATTTCGTTATAGTCGTTTGTCTTATCTTCATTCTTCTGATTCGGAAATGCTAACTTGTTTTTCTTCTTCTCTTTCTGGAGTCTCACTGGTGGAGCTCCCCCCTTGTCGATGACTTCGTACCCATTCGATAGGTCCTCTTGGGTAGGCACTCTTGAGTCATCACCAGATGGGAAGTTTTTCGACTCAGTTTGATTTACCATGTGGCTATCCGGATATTTGACATCCCTTTTAGTTTCCTCTTCCATTTTGTGCCCACTTGGACGTTGTCGCTCCGGGATCTTTTCTTCTTCTACTATGCTTCCATTGGGCAGAGTGCCCCTGTTTTTTCTTTTCTCCTTCGAGGTGTTGTTGTTCCCCGGTTTCGTGGCTTCCCCAGTTTCACTTGGGCATCCTGACGGGGTGGGGTTGGCACTTTGGGAGATGTGCGGCTCGTCCAGAGGGGGGAGAAGTCCTTCATGGGGGTAGCTTACGTTAGCATTTCCTTCTTGTGAGTACCCCACGTGTGCATCTCTTCCCTGCTGATACGTCGTATGCTGACTTGGTCGATAGTTCTCACCGAGGATGTCCCCCTTGGCGAAGTTCCCCTCCTTGGTAAGATTCGCAAAATGCGGGGCGCTTCTAACGGGGTGGAAATCTCGTAGAAGGATTCCCATGGGGGGAATGACGTCATAGGGGATATGGTAGAAGGCGTGGGATGGGTTGCCATACGAGCCAGCAAATGTGTTCACAAGACGGCTGTACTCAAGGGGACACATGGCATTAAATCTGTTAATGTCGTTCGAAAAATAGACACTTGTGTCTGCACTGTACATGCCGCTTTGTCTGTACTGCTCATCGTTGAGATATTTTTTCTTCTTTCTTAGGTGAAATTTGGCGTAGACGTCCCACTTGTACGCAGGGGGAAATGTCATTTTTTCCCGGTTCAGTTGGATGGTCTGATGGGAAGCGGTTGGGTCTGGGTACAGGGGGGCGGTGTTTGATCCTTGTGGGTTTGACATCATGGGCCTGCTGCCTGGTGGGTAGTTATCCCCCACGGGGAAGTTATTTCCTACGTTCGCGTTGCTCCCGCCGAGGTGACCGCTCCAGCCGATGCTATGCTGCGCACCTCTTTCGGTGGTTCCAATCGGGGGCAGACCGATTTTGTTAAAAGGAACAACCAGGGGATTATTGTAAGGGGCACCATCCCATAGGGTTTTCACTCCAAGGTTATACCCTCCTAGGTAACTCAGATGCCTGCATGCGAACGGGTCATGTTTAACGTGGCGATATGTCCCTTTCGCGTCCTCATACGGATCTCCTTTCCTGTGCACATAATGGTAGTCACTGTGAGGGGGTCCAATTTTATTAAATGCTCTGTTGCTACTTCGGATCGAAGTACAAATGCTGTAATGGAGGTCGTCATTATGAGAAATAGTGCTGTTTTTTCTCCTTGGATCGTCACACACATTGGGGGCATACCTCCCTACTTCATCTGGCGCGGCAGGAGGAGATGCCTCTACAGGGAGCACATCCTCATTGCTCATTCCCCTGACGCTTCTACCTACATCAGGGTAATTATTCCAATGGGCTGCACCACTCGGAAAGGTCTTCACTCCGTAATGGCTTCCATACGAGGGGGGGTTGCTGTTGGGGGGCATAGGAAGCTGCTGAGGGGGGTGACACATCTGCTGAAGTAGCCGACGCGGTTTATTCCTACGTACGTCGTTTTGTCTTCTTGAGAGGAAGCTTCCTTGTCCGTCTATGAGCTCGGTCATGCGGCCCACTCGGTTTCCATTGCCAAAGTTGTGGGAACCTCCCATCCAGCTCACGCCGTTCATTCGGCCAACTTCGTTCATTCGGCCAACTTCGCTCATTCGGCTGATTGCACTCATTCCGCCGATTCCACCGAAGCCCCCCTCGCTGATCATATAATTGGCGTATCCACGTTTAAAATCGCTAAAGTAGGGTTCCCTGTTGAATGGGGCACCTTCATTTTCGCTTCTCCATAGGTCTTCCACGTAGAGGGTGCTGACCCCAGAGGGGTAGTTCCATTTTAAGTGTCTCGGTGGGAACCCCTTTCTGCGTGTTCGCAGAGGGAGCGCCCTGTTGGTGTGTCCTAGGCGATCCTCATGGCTTAGGAGATCTGCGTGGCTTAGGCGATTCCCTTGCCTCATTGGGTTCATTCGATTGACGTAGTTTACGTAGTTCATGTAGTTCACGTAGTTGGCGTAGTCCCTCGAGGCGAAGCTGCTGACGTCGTCGCTGAGCACGTCTGCGGAGTAGTCCCCCTCCTCATGGCTGTCCCGGTTATGGCGGTTATGGCGGCTATCGTTGTTTGGGCTTGCGCTGTACTGGCTTCCGCTTCGTTGGCTGCTTCGATTGTCTCCTCCGTTCACACTTCTGTCTACTTGTTCGTGTACACTCCTCCCATCAAAATGGCCATCACGAGGAGGCACATTAACAGAAGAGGAGTCCACCCCAGTGACGTTACTCTTCTTTTCCTGAGCCGATACATTTGGGGAAATAACATTATCTTCGCTGGTGAATCTATCCTGTTTTGTTTGATTCACGCTTGATAAATTTCGGGGGGTGCAGAACCCATGGCTCACAGGAAGTGGGTTCAGGGTTATGTTGGAAGAAGTGCTAACTGATGTGCAGATGATGGGCTGCATGGCGGCTGAGTCGTTTACATGAATTTGCCGGGGTTGTGTATGATCCTTCTTTCGCTGTCCCCCCTTGGGTGTCCCTTTCCTTGGGGGCAAGGGGGGGGCACGCGAATGGTTGGAGTGCTGTTGGTTAGAGGGCGGTTGCTTCACACTGGGCTGGTTGCCACCCACTTGGCTGATACCAAATGGGGTATTTCCCGATTGGCTTCGGTCTACCTCCTGGACGCTCGCATTAGACGCCACTGCCTGTGGAGTTGAGTGCAAGTCTACTGCTTCTTCCCCTTCCCGCGTAGCAGATTTTTTTGAGCCTCTTTTGGATGCCTTTTTGGGGTTACTTTTTTCGTCAAAGGCATGTTCAACTTGGGGGGTTCCACGCCTTATGGGAGATGACTCCTTTTCCTTGTCTTCAAGCGGGTAGAGTGTTGTCTCCTCGGGGGACTCACCTATTTTATTCTGTTCATTTGAGTTGAGGAGCTGGTCGGTGGATTCAAGCCGCCACTCCTTTGTGTCCACCTCTTCAGTACAATTTTTTTTTTTTTTTTTTTTTTTTTTTTTTTTTTTTTTTTTAGTCCCACTTGCATTGGTGAGGTTCTCAGTGTTGGGCAATTCGTCACAACTCTGTGGTGATAGTTTGTCTAGATGATCTTCCGTTTGATATTTCTTTTTCGTATTGACAGTTTCTTCCGATTTAGCTACATTCGACGTGAGTGATATAGGACGCACATTGGGGAGAGCCTTGGCGTGTGATGTAGATTCGCTTGTGTGATAATCTCGCGAGTTGGAGGGACAATCCGACTGGTTTGTTTCATCCCTGCTCAGTTGGGATGCCTCCGGTTGATTACTTTCAAGGTTACTCAGGTTTTTACCCTTATTTATGCTTTCACATCTAGTGATGCTTTCACCTTTGGCGTTATCTGCACCATTCGACGGGGGGAAACGCTTGCTCTTCCTTCTCTTTTTTTTACTTCCCCTTTTGTTCTCATTCTTCTGTTCTGCTTCTCTTCCTTCGTTCGTCTCTACGTCCATGTTTGAAGCAGCCAAACTGCTGAATTGGGCGTGCCCTATGGAATCATTCCTGGGTTTAGAAGCTGTACCATTTTGATCTCGCCCCTTTTGGCTAGCTACATGCAACAGGGCAGAAGTGGGTTGTCCCCCCCCATGGGAACCAATAGTTTCCCTCTCCTGATAAGTCATCCTATTCCTCTTCTCTTTCTTTTTCGAAATGTGTTTATAATTTAGCTGTGAAGGTGACGTACTAGATGTGGACGGCTCGCTCGCTCCGTCATTTATAGAGACGTGAGGCTGACCCCCTCGATTTGACATCGAACTGAGTGTGACATTATCCAAATGGGCACTCTCCAGATGTTTGTCTCCATTTGGGTGATGATAACTGGTTTCTGATTGATTATCCAGATTACCCACCTCTTGGCATTTATTCAGATGGGAATGTTTTTTTCCTCCTTTCTGTCTCCGTTTATTTTTCTTGTCACCCCCTGCAACTGCTTCAGTAGTCATAGTTGTTCCTGGAGTGGACACCAAAATGTCATCCTTTCCATCGAATGAGATGTATTCCTTTTCGCACGAGGGGTGCATCTTGTGAGAGGAATTTTTCCTGATACTGCTGATTGTGTTTATCGAGGGTAGGGTTACTAGAGTCGCTGCTTCCCCTTCACCACGTCCACTTACCAGGGCAGTCTTTTTCGTATCCATCGCAATGTCGCTTCCGTTTGTGACATCTGCTGGGAAGATACTCTGAGGAGTTTCGAACTGTTGGGGGGGGTTGACGCCCCGTTCGCTTCGATTTTGCATCCTTTGGCCGTTCGTCAAGGTTGTGCTGTATTTACTACCATCCTTTTGGGACTTCTCCCCCCGGTTAACTTGCACGTGGAGACTGGTGGAAGAGTTTTCTTCCGCTCCGTTCGCACCCTGATCAGCCGTCTCGCTATCCACCTCGCTGCCACCACTTTCCTTCTTTTTCCTCTTCTTCTTCTTCTTGAGGAAATCTTTTATATCATTTAGAATCGGTCAGATGCATCTGCTGTTCTAGTCTCTTTTGCTTTATTTTGGCTAGCTGGGAGAGCACCCTGGAGTGCGCTTTTGGGGTTGCATCCTCTTCACAAATACTGTTGACGCTGATTTGGTCGGGGGGTTGCGAGTCCTCTCCACTTCGGCGATCAGAGGTGTGGTACGCCATGTGAAGATTGGTACGGGTTCTACATAAAGCAGTTGTATCTTTTCCCTTATGGGAGTTGCGAAGGGCTTGATGCATCGCACTGGATGGATTGTCTTTGCTGCTTGCATCTTCTTCATTGTGCAGAGACAGGTGTTTCGGGTGGAGAGCATAGGTGATGAGGGATGTGGGGCTTCCCTTCTGTGCATACCTCGATAAAGGGGTGACGGAAAAGGTGGGTTCTACCGCGTCCCTCTCCTTTTGCTTCTTATTTTGTGACATTCCTTTCCTTAACTCAAGACTGTTAAACTTGTTGAAGCAGTTTATATTGTACAGAATTTTGTTCACTTGGTTCACTTTTTTTTTGTAAATGATGAGCTTCCTTCTGTGTTCCTCGTTCGAGTCCACTCGGCGGGGGTGGTGACAGCGGTCGGGGGGGCTGCTACCATGTTCGTTGTCGTCACCCGCACGGTTGCTATCATCACGGTTGCTATCATCACCGTAGCTACTCTCATCGCCTTCACACTGGACAGGGTGTTTCACACACCCCCTGCTGATCGCACACGAAACAGGCGTCCCTTTCGCGGGTTCGTCCCTTTGCGCGTCTACTTCTGATGCGGGGGGTCGCGACTTTCCTCCTTTCCTCTTCTGCTTCTTTTCCAGCTTGGCCGCTTCCTCCGTGCACCGGAACACATCATCTCTGTCATCATGGACGTAGCCTTGTACCTGTTGTGGTGCCGTGGTGTGGGTCGCCACATCGGTTGTTCTCTTTGCTAGCTTATTATGCTTCTTCCAATCGGTGCGATCTGTGCGCTCCTTTTGGTTCATCCCACTTGGGGTGCAATTCGTCACCGCTTCGTCGACCGGATAACCTTCCGTCGTGTGTGCATCTTTCTCTTGGTGGGTGGAGGCACCTGAGGAATCTCTCCTAGTGCCTCTTCTCAGCACACACTTGAGGACGCGTCGGTGGTTGTGCGTGTGTGCCTTCTGTGGCGGTTCGCATGGACACTTTTGGGAGGATTTCCCACTGGGGAGACGGCTTGAGTGACGACTCCGATTGGTACAAAAACTTCCGGTGTCACTACCGCTATCCCTCCTCGCGGCGGAGCGTAGGTCCCTCTCTACGCTGTCCATTATTAAATCAAAATCTGTGTTCTCTTTCATACGAGTGCTTAAAAGTCTGGGGATTAAAAAAAGGGGTTTGTATCAAGGAAGGTTTCGACTGTACCATTCATTTTTTTTTTTTTCTTTCTTTTCCTTCTCCAAGGGATCACCGACTGATCTCTGTGCAGAACTTCCCCTTCGAGGTCAGTTGGTTCTCCCCGTTTCGTTTTTTTTATCTTTATATGGTTATCTGTTTTTTTATTTTTTTATTTTTTCATTTTTCACTTTCCATTTCTTATTTTGTATTTTTAACCATTCCCCTTTTGGCTTCATGCGGTGTAAAATTGATGGGGTCCTTTGGCAGGGGGTTAAAGTAGAAGTGTTTGATGTGATTTTGTCATTTGGAAGGGGGGAGAGATTGCCTTGGGATGAATATTGTTGGAAGTCATGACTTGTGCAGCGTGGCCTTCACACGCGCGCCTGTCAGTTGTGTTCTTCCGGCGACTGGGCAGGGCGCTTTCTTGCGGGAGAGCCAGCCGGTTGGCTTAGCGGGAATTGTGGAGTCGAGTGGAAAACCTGGTTGCGTGCGTCTTGCGCGATTCCGCTGTTGCTTTTTCCGTTTCTCCCTTCCCCGTTGCTTCTTTCCCCCCGCATGTGAAGCTGCTTTCGCCTTTTCTTCCTCCCCCGAAGTGGAATGTACTTAACCGTTTCAAAAAATGAAAAATGGGCCTTTCCAGTTGGGGGCCTGAGACGTTGAGTAATACGATTTTTATGCCTCTTCAGTTTTTTTTATTTTATCTTATTTTTTTTTTTTTTTTTTTTTTTTTTTGCAACTTGTTCCCGTTCTTTGGTTAACTTTAAATTCGTTGTTTGCGTCGATTTCAATTTCGTCGCAGCGACCCAGCGTTGCAGTCACCGTGAGTCGGATGACGTCGCCCCGCACCACCTTTTTTTACGCTTCACGGCTTCTGTGTGCGTAGCCCTTGCGCATCTCTCTCACCCGTACTTTCTTTTTTTTTCACACCCGACTTGGTTGCCTTAATGTACACGTTATTTTTATGTTAGGGTTTTTTTCCCTCTTTTTTGGTATCATCTGTTAAGGGGTGATCGTCAAAAAGAGGTTTCCTTTCCTTCGGGGAAAGCTTCGACGGTGAGTTTCTTTTTTTTTTTAAAAGAAGAGGCCTATCTTCGGTGGCTTTATGTGCGCTCTTCGGGGTGAAAGAAGCGCGTACAGGATCATACACAGGGTTACGAAGTGATACGAGGGATACACAGGGATGATGCGTAGTGATACGTACAAACAGGTACCGTTGGCGTCTAGAAACTACACAACAGTGTTAATTCGTCGGGGAAGGAGCATGCCGTTGCTGTTTGTGGAGGCTGGGAGAAGGGGTAAAAAAGAATGAGGGATGGAGTGGCCAGCCAAAAAAGGAGATGCATGAGGAGATAACTCCTCGATGGGGTAAGGATACCAGTTAGATGGGTGAGAAAAGTTCATTCCCACCTAAGTACACGGCTGGGTTGGGGGTGCCGTTGTCTAATCTACGGATGACTGATAAATTGGCTGTTGCTATAAGTGATTTGTTCCACTAATGGGGTCCCCCACAAGTGGCACACAATCTCCGAAAAGGTGACTTGAACCCCGTCGAGAAGACAGCTTTACTGGGAGCTGAATTTTTGGTCAAGGGAAGATGTCCTTCAAAAATGAGGGTACCATCAACGGGTAGAGTTGTTCCACTTTGTGATCGATCCCTGGCTCAGTTTCAGTCAACCAGGAGGTACATCCAAAATGGGACGTGGAAAAATGCTTCGAGTGAGTGACAGAATGGTTTAGAGGAGAGGGGCCAACGATGGTTTACTTCACTTTTCGCGCCATGCGAGAAGAGGACGATACCATGTCAGGTTCCTATGGTGAAAAGGTAATCCGAAGGGGGGGGGATACACCTCCCAAGGTGACCATCGAGTATGTATTTCACACAGGCGCTCTCTGCCCATACGAGTTGCCCCCACTTCGGATTTCTCAATTGGTGAAAGGGCACAGAAGACTATGTCTAAAGGTACAACTGGGGCATACATTTCTGTACATAAAAACACGCGGAAAGAAAAAAGGAAAAAATTATGCCGATGAAATGGAAAAAAGGTAAAAAGTGTATCCATAAGGAACAGCACGCATCAATGCGTTTATCCAGTTTGGGGAAATCATCTTTATTTATACTCTTTTAAAAGGAAGTGGTTTAGTGTGCACTTGCCCATTAAAAGAAAAAAAAAAAAACCCCGAAGCATTTACCCACCGATGGAACTGAGCCAGCAGTAGAGAAAGAAAAAAAGAAATTACGTATAGAAATCTGCGGAGTGGCAGAAATGGCCTTAAATTTGCAAATAAAGCGGCGTGTATCCGTTCATAGAGGTGTAGAGGCATCTACCCGACTGGCCTGAGAATGGATAGTTGTCCATCGCGCCTTACTTCAAATTTTTATAACCTTAAAATCGGAATGTCCACACAATGGACGGGGATAGGGGGAGGGTCCCTTCCTCAATGCTACTTTCACCCCCATCTGATCGACTGGTATAATTTCACCGGGGGTGTCCGGAAAGGAAGCGAAACAATAATGAGCTGAACGAATGTTGAAGGGTGAGCAAAAAATAAAAATGTAGCATAGGATGCCAACATAACACAACGGAGGAAACGAAATGGAGTAAAGTTAAGGCTAGCAGGTGGAGCAAAACACAGGGATGAGATGTTTTTCCCTGGGGGTGGCAGAACGAATAAGGGTAACACACGCAGGAGAAAAATGTGTGCCCACCCCCAAGGCCAAGCTTCATAAAAAATGTCACATCTTTTTTTAGAGGAAAAAGAAAACTTCTTTTAACCCTTCCCCCGTTTGTGTCCGTAACTGGTGTCTAATGGGATGCGCCTCTCATCAGAATTAACAAGCAGGATGAAACCCCTCCACTGTTGATAATATACTCAAAATAGTGAACGGATGTAGGGATACATATGTAAAATGTAAAAGTGTAATGGGTTACACAGTTCATCCTCTTTGTTCACTCTGCTTTTGTTTGGAGGTGCCTACCAGAGAGGGAGATAAATGACCAGTAAGATTTCCCCTCAAAAGGGTTGAGAATTGAAAGTAGGCCGAAAATAGGGAAAACTCTCTTATTCCATTCGAATTTTGCCCTTGTGATTTTGTCGATGCTGGGAAACGCGAATAAAATGGGTCTTTTAAAATGCCCATGTCAGGGCGATGCATAGTACAGTAGTGCGCTTTTCCGTGCGGGTGCCTTCATATTGGGGAAGAAGTGACACACAGCCGCCTTACAATGAAGTGCACCATCCCTATGGGGTAAATACCCACTTGGTAGACTCTCATGGTTATCTTTTTTTTTTTCTTCTTTTTCTTATTTTTACTCTGATCGGTAAGGTAATTTTAGAGAATTACTTAAACGTTCATAAAAATGTTCGTTGTTTTACGCAACTGAGGTGATGGATAGGAGGGGAATAATTTGAAATGGGGCAGACGATAAAGTATGGGAGTTAGTCATTTGAAAGGGTGAATCAGACACTTCGTTTTGGAAATAGTTTTTTTAACAATTGGGACGTTTTTTTCCTCTTTTTTGCTAACGATTGGTCTGTTTCTTCCTCCGAACGTTAAAGAATAGAGAAGGAAAAAAAAAGAAAAATAAGTGGACCACGTGAAACAGTACAGGCGAGTAAAGATAATTTGCGCCATTTGGCAATGAACTCCAGTGTGGAAGCGATAAGAATAACTTAGCTAGAAGTGGGCTACCTCCAAATGATACACAGAGGAGGGAAAAAAGGGAAAGTTACACAAGTTGGTGTTGTAGAAACGGCGTACACCTTATGTGTGCGTTTGAAATGGTCGCCTCTTTTTTTCTTTTTATGCGCGGGGTGGGTATCCTCTCAGAATCGGCAGTGTACATTTTTATGTTTCTTCTCTGGCTCACATTTGGATGAGAAGCTAAGAAGGGGGAGGGGAACAGGGCTGCCCCTGGACAGGTCAGCCAATTTCCCGTTCAAAAAAGAAAGGAAAAAAAAAACATACAATAAATTTGCACTGCTTTAATGGGGCGTATACGTCAGATTTTCTTTGCCTTTGAGAAGAGCTGCACTAGTGCATTGTCACTTCAGCCCAATCCATTGCATATTTGCAGAAGAGACGAAGTGAGAAATGGGAAAGTTGGTACGCACTTCCCATATTATGTACTGGGGGAAGGGGGGGGGTGGAACTTTTCTTTAAAAATTGTTATCCAAATGGGGAAGTGGACATGCTGAGGTAAATAAAATGTAGCGATTAAGCCAAAAAAAAATGGAACAAATTCCATAGCACATGGAAAATATGTGTCCCCGTTGTGATTTCCCATTTGGCTATTCCTACATCCAGTGAGTAGCTAACTTTCTTCATTTGGGTCCCCCCGAAATGGGGAAGCAAAGTTGGAGGACATGCCCGTTTTATTGTAACCTTACTATTCTATCACTTATCATTTATCATAGATCATTTATCACTCATCATTTTTGTGTTTTTTTTTTCTTTCCTTTGTAACGTCCCGCCGTTGCGGGTGCATCGCGTCCGCGTACTTATGTATAGGAATTCATTTTTTGGCATTCACCCCCCCTTTTTCTCGCTTCATCGTATTTTTTTTAAGAACGATAAAATTATCGATGAGTGCACAAATGAGAAGATAAAATTGGAAAAGGGAAAGGATCTGCCTCAGAGAGCTATCGTAATTAAGAAAGAAAAAAAAAAAAAAAAAAAAACGTAGCTTCCATTTCTACGGATGGGAAAAAAGTGTCTTCACTTGTATCACCCTTAAGTGTGTAGAGAGAGAAAAAAAAAATCCCTCTTTGACGTTGTACTTAGCTCTATATCTTTGTCTCTAGGGACCTCGGTAGGCAAGCAAATTAGCACTCTGGCGACACGGAAGAGAGGATAAAAAAAAAAAAAAAAAAAAAAAAAAAAAAAAAAAAAAAAGACCGTTACCTATGCACTTAGATGCGGTAGTGCCTGAGCCTTCTTTCTCCATCACTCTAGTTATCCATTTGAATGTCGTTCCTTTCGCCGACCTGTTTTTTGTTTTTTTTTTCTTCTACCATCTCATTTGGCTAATGCATGCTATCGGGTCGCGCGGGTGGCTTTACCTATAACTAAATAAATGAGTAGATAAATAAAAAAATATATATATATGCATATATATAGTGTGTGCGTTTAGGTGGGTGCGACATTTTTTATATATAAGTTCGTCCTTCAATGAGTGGTGAAGCTTAGGAGGTCGCCTGTGGCTACCTCCCAAAGTGCACATCTGTCTTTGCGTGATCCGATAGTGATACGCAGCTATGTCATTTGGACTTAGAGGAAATGAAGAACGTCTAGAGTTCGCTGTAGGGATCGTTTTTTTCCCACGAGGGAATTTTTTTTTTTTTTCACAAACAGCCATCAAGATGCATCATATGTTTGCCTGTATATATGTGCGCGTAAAGCATATGTGTACTTTTTTTTTTTTTTTATTTATGATTTTTTTTTCTTTCCAAGCTTTTGCTTCTGCTTTTGTTTTTCTTCTTTTTATCCTCATGGCATTAAACATTTTCTAATTAGGTGTATTTCTTCATTTCTTCCCTTCATCATTTCTTCCCATCCTCACTTCTTCCCTTCTTCACTTCTCCATTTCGTCACTTCACATTTAGAAGAAGAAAAGAAGAAACAAAATAAACTACTTGCATGCAATATAGAGAATCCCTTTGGGTAATTAAATACTGGCCACAGAGAGTTCAATCGCGTTTTCACCATTTCCTGCTTGCGCTGATTCGTTATTCCCTCCACAGCTTGTTAAGAGGTACAAAGGAGTGTTCAGTTGAGTCTGCAGTTGAGTCTTCAGTGAAACTTGCAGTGCAGTTCGATGCGCATTTCCCGTTTTAGTTTTCGCGTCAGTGTGTTTGGAGTGGCGGGCCCCAGGCGGGAACACACACTTCGCAGGGCCGCCGGGCCGATGGGGGTTGGGCGACCTTCACGCCATTGTATTTTGTGAGAGAACCCGTTTGTGCGAGTTCCTTTGTCCCCAGTGCTTCTGCGCGTGGGCTCACTGGTCCGTGTAGCCTTGCCGGACTCACGTGGGGGTGTAGAAGGGGGCGTGCCCCCTCTAGGGTGTTCACCCTAATGGAAGCCTTCCTCCATTTCCTTCACCGCACACCATCCTGATGTGCTACCCGTTTCATTTTCCATCCCCCCCATGCAGTTAACAGATTCTAAAAATGAGAGAAGTCATTAGCATTCACGTAGGTCAGGCTGGTATTCAGATTGGAAATGCCTGCTGGTAATGGAATGACAAAGAAAAAAAAAAAAAGAAAAAAAATACCATTCGTGATGGTTGCCGCGTCCTTCCCGATGAGCGGTTGCCTGATCGAGTGGCGGCCTCCTACACAACATTGCGCAGCGTCGCCCGTCTACTCATGTACACGCGCGTAAGAATACATGCTTCCGCACGCTTACGCGCTCTTACACACGGACGTAAATACTGCCGTGGCGGGACACCACTATAGGGAGCTTTTCTGCTTGGAGCATGGAATTCAGCCCGATGGCCAAATGCCCAGCGACCAGGTCGTCGCCGGGGGAGACGATGCGTTTAACACTTTCTTCTCGGAGACTGGCGCGGGCAAGCACGTAAGTGGAGGGAACTGTTTGCGGGGAGCAGCTTCGCGAGAGTGAAAAAGGCTTATACCTCCTCGCGTGTCCTTTTTACCGCTTTTCTGCGTCTCCATCTGCCACTCCTTCGCATCCCCCCCTTTGCCAGGTACCAAGATGTGTGTTCGTGGACTTAGAACCCACGGTGGTAGACGAAGTGCGAACGGGCACCTACCGTCAGCTGTTTCACCCAGAACAGTTAATATCAGGCAAGGAAGATGCAGCAAACAATTTCGCAAGAGGGCACTACACCATAGGGAAGGAGATTGTAGACATCTGTCTGGACCGAGTGCGCAAGTTGGCCGATAACTGCACAGGGCTGCAGGGTTTTCTGATGTTTAATGCAGTGGGTGGAGGAACAGGAAGTGGTCTGGGATGTCTTCTATTGGAAAGGCTAGCCATAGATTACGGAAAGAAATCGAAGTTAAATTTCTGTTCTTGGCCCTCTCCCCAAGTGTCCACAGCTGTAGTGGAGCCATACAACTCGGTTTTATCTACTCACTCTCTACTAGAACACACAGATGTAGCGATCATGTTAGATAATGAAGCTATATACGATATATGCAAGAAGAATCTTGACATAGAGAGGCCGACCTATACAAACCTAAACAGACTAATAGCCCAGGTCATTTCGTCCTTAACGGCTTCTCTACGATTTGATGGTGCCCTCAATGTGGACGTTACGGAGTTTCAGACAAACTTAGTGCCCTACCCACGTATCCACTTTATGTTATCGTCCTACGCCCCCATCATTAGTGCAGAGAAGGCATACCACGAGCAGCTCTCTGTGTCTGAAATTACTAACTCTGCATTCGAGCCTGCTTCTATGATGGCGAAGTGTGACCCTCGTCATGGAAAATACATGGCATGCTGCTTAATGTACAGAGGGGACGTCGTTCCAAAGGATGTGAACGCTGCCGTCGCGACCATTAAAACAAAGAGGTCCATTCAGTTTGTTGACTGGTGCCCAACAGGATTCAAGTGTGGTATTAACTACCAGCCACCTACTGTTGTCCCTGGGGGAGATTTAGCCAAAGTGATGAGAGCTGTCTGCATGATAAGTAACTCCACCGCTATTGCTGAAGTGTTCTCTAGAATGGACCAGAAATTTGACCTCATGTATGCCAAGAGAGCGTTTGTCCACTGGTATGTTGGAGAAGGTATGGAGGAGGGAGAGTTTAGTGAAGCCAGGGAGGACTTAGCCGCCTTGGAAAAAGACTACGAAGAGGTCGGCATCGAGACCAACGAAGGTGAAGGGGAAGATGAAGGCTACGAATGAGCTGTGCACTTCAAGTGTTTAGAAGCATGAGCAGAGGGGTGGCTCAAAAAAGAGAAAAAAAAAA